ATCTCTATAGCCTTTGGGCCACATGCGTTGTTGTTGCTACTTGGAAAAACGGAGAAGCAGAAAAATAATAAAAATTTCACTGCCCATAAATCAAGATATCGACTTTTTGAACTTTCTGCAATTGCATAAGAATTTTTATTCACAAACCTGTACCCGTGTGCCATGAGAGGATGCTTCTCTTAGGTGTATGAATCGTTTGCACGGAGTTTCAAGTTATCTAGTTGCGTTGATCTCTTTCTCTTTTTCTTTTTCTCCCGACGCCAAAGAAGTACAAAAAAATAATTCTCCTATCCGTAGGCTGCATCAAAAAAAGAAAAGGAAAGAAGGAGAGAATAAGAAGAAGAAGAAGAAAAAATGGAAAATAAAGGGCCGATCTCGCGCTCGTCTTCGCCCTCGCGTTTTCCTCGTCATGTACATCTGAAAAAAATGTTGCTGCGTGTGCGTATGGGAAATGAATAGATCGAGATCGGGTCAGGAGAAGCTGCGATCGCTAATGTATTACGTACATAATGCACGCACGAACATATCCAATACTCGTACGTACACTCGGCCATCGTATAGGCAACGGGAATTCATGAAAAGAGCATCCGTCACTTTTCCTTCGTCATCAGCTGCTATGAATAAAAGCACGAGCTGTACAACGTACGAGAAGTGTATGTAGCAGTCCTTCTTTATTAAAGTCCGATGCTGGTCTTGTTAACGCGCTGTAAATATACTGACTGCGATGCCGTTTAGCTCGTACATGCGCATGTATTCGCGGCGGCCCATGTTGCCTGTGTACATGTGTGCCGGGACTGGAGCAGCTATACGCATTATACATATAAAAGCCGCTAATCTGCCATTGTCGATGCTCCCTGGCGCGTAATACAGAATCGAAGGCAGTAGCAGCATTTTTTTCTCGGGCTTTTGTGCTCGCGATACATACCCACGATCTATATCCAAGTTGCGTACACGCGCACGTTTTATAATAGTACGTATGCAGCAACGGTCGTCATTTTCCTCTTCGTAATGGTTTTCCACCTCTATGCAAACAAAAATAAGGACTTGTATTAATTATTTTTCAAACGTACAGTCAAATAAATGCGCTTGATATAACATTTTACGTACGTAAACAGTGGAAAAGACTCGCGCGATGTACCTCATACAAGACGAGGTGTTGGAGGGATGACGCGCGCCTCTGCAAAGCTTCCTTCAAATTACATTCCCCAAAGGTAGAGGCGCATTTCTCTCGCTCTCACTCGCGTGCACGCATTCGAGTATATACTATACATACACAGAGGCAGACACAATGCGCGCGATCGCAACTTAAATTCCAGGAATGCTATGACGGCACGTCGTCACTAAACATACTACTACAACTCCAGTCTATATAACTCGGCAGAATTTCTCATCTTGCCTCTTCTTCGCTCCGTTCTCTCCTCCTTGGCATAACTCCGCGTGTTTATAGAGATAGCGATGTGCCGCCACTGCTGCTGCTGCTGCTGTGTAAGATAAGATTTTCCACGCTATCTCTTTGCAAGCTCTTCGTCTTCGTCGTCGTCGTCGTTGTTGTCGATCTGTGCCCTCTCTTTCTCTCTATCTCTATCTCTTTCTCGTAAACATATATAAGACGTAGCAGCGGGCTTGTGCTATAAGGGTGCGCGATGAAAGCTAAAAGGCAAACCTTTTAGCGAAATACGAGAATCCATCAAAAGCCTGAGAATAGAGTTGAAGTGAGAGCGACGAAAAAAAGGCAAAGAAAAATGAAGAAGAACAAGGAGCCGAAGCTCCTTGTGCGAAGCTCCTCCGTCGCCTCCCCCCACACCCCAGCAGCTTGGCTCAGCTCGCGGGGCCTCTTAGTACTTTATTGTATACGTATTAAGGCTAAGAAAGTCATCGTTGCCATCTTCTCTCCGAAGCTCTCCGTCTAGGACTACGCGATGTGCATGTCCCTAAAGCTTTTCAGTTTTTTTGCTCTCCTTCGCGTCCCTCTTTTTCATCCGACGAACTCGTCATCGTACCAGTCTTCGTGTTATGTACTGGTGACGGGAGAAAAAAAATATATTATATTCTTTTATACGATAGTGCAGGAAAATGCGTCGAGTAACGTAAAAGCTTTTCTCTTCTGTTTCTTAGTCTTATTCTTCCTCTTCGTACATTTATATATACGGCGCACTGACTCGCTCGAGCTCGTGTTGTTGTTTTTTCTTTTTTTTCTTTTTATCTTTTTTTTGTTTCGTCGAGTCACGCGGATAATGGTGTGCGCACTTCGTGTAAGGGCAATACGATACCGACTGCCACGGGTACTATCACGCTTCGCTCGCGAGCTCTATACCAATCGTTCGTCGTAGCTGTCTGTGTATATTTACACATATCTCTCTCTCTCTCTCTCCTCCTTCGCTACGACGAGGTGGCGAATAATTTATTTTTCTCTCTCCTTTCTTTTGCGTGATAGGTCGAAGTTGCACATAGAAGTAAAAGAAAGTTTACTCAAGTTTTAGCAATTGAAAAATGTATTTTTTCGCGTCTTTAAGTTGCGAAGAGCGCGCGAGTTGATATTACTTAAGCTCGAGAAGCGACGAAAAGCTTTTGAAGAAGAGAAAAGCGAAATTTACTTACAGGTCGTGTGCATCAACCTGTGCCTGTCGTTGCCTTAAACATCGGATCAACTGGCGCGTAAATCCTCTCGTCTATAATATGACTCTACTTATGTATAGACTCCGAAGCGCATCAAGCGTAAATGCGGGAAGAGCAAAAAAGAGAAAAAATAATATGCGTTGTGCGTGCGTTCGTGCTGACGAGAGAGAAAGAGAGAGAGAAAGAAAAAAAAAGCATTTTCGAGAGGCTGCTGCGTGTGCGTGTGCGTGTCGCGGATACGTTGAATATAAGAAACGTCAGGACACCCGTGGGGGAGGAGGACAGAGAAAGAGAAAGAGAGAGAGAGAGAGAGAAAGAGAAGAACAAGTTGTAAAATGAGACGACACATTATTCTCGACGTGAGAACCAGTTCCGCGGTCTGCGCTCAAACATGCACGTATACACGTATATGTGTAAGGCCGGAGTTGCGCTGCCGTATATAGCCGCTCGTTTCTGCGGCCTTTCTTCGTCGTCACCTGTAAAATTTATGTAAAAAAGCCACGCGAATTTATCAACGCGGACGCCTATTATTATGTCTAGGATTCTGCATTGTAACGCAATGTCCAGTACGCCAATCACACGCGTGTGCGTGCATGCGGGTAAATTTTGTAAACACTCGTATAGCAGCGCAATTACCCGACGACACGTACCGAGAGCAATGCTAGTGTCAATCGCTGGCGCAATTATTCGTCAGATATATAGTAAGCAAAATAAATATCGATTACCGATCGATCTCAAGGTTTCGCGGGCTTTTCTCGCGCGCACACACACACATCGGAATATACAATTGCGTTATCGCGATTGAGTAATAATTTGCGGTATTATCCGCAATCGTCTCGCTAACGCGCGTTGCGTATTACCCGCAAGGAAATTGCCTATTTTATCCGTTCGATGGGTGCCACAGTTTTCTAAAATTTCCTGCTTCGACGCGATTAATTTATAAAAGCTCTCGCGCATATCTTGGCACAATCAAGACTCGATCGGCGTTTGTTATATATTTTTTGCACGCGACGCATAACTTAGCCATGATCGCACACGTGCTCGATTCTGAGAATGCATGTAGTTGGTAGGTATATAGCGTGCACACGACGAGCGATAAGCGCGTCGCTGGAGATACACACACACATCGCACAATAATAATATATATAAGCTCCGTATTAAGAGATCCCAGTGGCCGTGAGCATAATGGGGTTGAGGCAGTTTTTCAAAGACCAAGACGTTGCGATATTAAAAAAAACGCATCAACAAATATTTTGCACTTTTGTAAGGGTAGGCAAAATTCAACGAATAAATCGAGCTCCAAGCGAAAACGAAACTTTTGATCGACGGGGTGCTGGATGAATCTCAGCTCGTCCCCTTACACATAATTGGAAATAATCAATCGATGCGTTAGCCAGATCGATCGGTGTTTATAGTCGTCATTATTATCGTCATATCGAGCGAGAGTTGCTAAAAGCTTCGAGGTAGCATCAGCACGCGCAAAGCAAGAGAGACGGACCGATTTATGCTTTTATGTATAGTAATATTACATGCGTGTGGCTAGTAGTGGTAGCTTAACAATCTCTCTCTCTCTCTCTTTATGTATCCTATAATATAATACATAATATATATAGGGTAGAAAATGAGCATCGGCAAACAGAAGAGGCTCCGTCTCTCTGGCTCGTAGTACATTTCAAGCGTATATAGCTTACTGTACCAACCGCCCATCATTCGCACCCTAATGATTCGGGGGGGCACGTTTGTATATATACATGTATATTATACAGGGTACATTTGTGCGCGGCCGTTCCAGTGAGAGCAGCAACACAGCACACCCCTTGACAGCGCGAGCGAGAGAGCGAAGAACATCCAGCAACAATCCCCTTTCATCACGGAACAACGGCAACGAGAGAGAGAGAGAAGAGCCCGTGTACGTATATGCTCTCTAATTAAGCGGCTTCTGTGTGTTTATAGCATACACACAAGCGTGCAGTACATGGCATACGTCATAACCGGATTGTGTGTACACGCATGCTACATACATCCAGGCCACACAGTCGGAAACGTACGGAGCACGCTATAACGTAATATACGGGCAGGCACTTCGCTCCGTAAGGACGTCAAGGATCCGTCTGTACGTATATACACATACCTTTTTGCAGTACAGCAGCTAAGCACCACCACCACCACCACCACCACGTGATCCATGATGGGGCGGGGGTGGTACTGCTGCTACTGCTGCTGCTGCTGACTGATGGTGGTAGTGGCAGCGGCGGCACGGCGCGAGGACGCCAGCCACCAGCAGCAGCCTATGGACGGCCTGCAGCAGCAGCAGCGAGCGAGAGAGAGAGAGAGAGACTCGTGGAGTGTGTGTACATACGTGCCTGGCGAGCGGCGGCGCGAGAGGCAATCGCAAGCAGAGCTCCACAGGCTGCTGCAGTATCAGCATCTCGTTTCATACACGGTGACAAAATATACGACGCATCCTTCGACACAGAGACTCCGAATTTTGCCTTCCCAGCGACGTTTCTTTTCCCCTTTTTTTGTTTTTCTCGCTTTCCTCGTAGCTCTCGATGCCGTGCACGCGTCTGTCATGTAAAAGTCTTGGCTTCCGTTGATCGTGCGCCGAGAAAGAGACAAAGAGTGAGAGAGAGACACGCGAGTGATAGAGCGAAGAAGTAATTAGAGCCAAGTGTTTATTATGTTCGAGTGAGCGAGGTGCACGAATATTCCGTGCGACGATTTCAATACACGATCACGCAGTGCTGTGTGCGGAGGAGCTTGTGCGTGTGCAGCAGAGAGAGAGAGAAAAAGAGTGTGCGGGGCAACGGCGCCAGTGCCAGTGAAGTGCCGTGCAGCGTGAACAAAACGATTTCAAAGCCGAAGATTAAAGTATTTGCAGCGACTGCTCCAAGATTTTTTTGCGCCACGCGAAGAGTCACCGGCTCCGGATATTTACCCCCTTTTGCTTGGGCTCCATCGGCCAAGTGCTTTTCATGCCTAAGAAAGCGTGCGTCTGCTCTCTCGAGTGTGAGTATTGTCATTGAGTACGCGTAATTGCCTACCGACCCTTGTGCACAATTTGCCATTATTATACATTCAAATTCATCAGCGTATCTCAACCCTCGCCGACGAGTGTGAACGCAAAAATGAATCAATCAATTTTCAATCGTATTTTGTCAATCGCGTCTCAAAACGCATATCGTATGTCTTACAAATTAAATACACACATGTCTCGGTCGCGCACCCTCCAATTTTTACGCGCTGCACATACGCTCGAGAACGTGTTATATGGATGCGAGGAGCGAGTTAGCGCGAGTTACACCGGACGCCGCAAAGTACGGCACAACGAGTTCCCGAAGGAGCATATACACGCCGCGCTGATATCCGTATCAGTGCAGCGGCGACCTGCATACGTGTCGCACGGCACGAGATGCAGAGTAAAAATAAATGAAGCCGGTGTAGCGTATATACGACGCGCCTCGCAGGTGCCATTAAACTCCTTGAATAAACTTGGTAATTTGCATCCTAGATGTGCCGCTGCAGCTACGCTCTGTATCTATTTGCGTGCGGGCGTACAACAACATAATATATATCGTGTATATATGTGTTGGACGGGCGGATATAGTTGCCTCGAATTCGCGCCTTGCGCACCGCGTACATATAGCTATAAGGACGCAGATAGTGTCAGAAGCCATAAATGTCATCGAACATTTGGTGCGTAGCACCTCTCCTCTTTCGCCTTATGCGTTCTATGTATATTACACGTACCCCTTTCAGAGAAATTTTCGGGAACGAAACAAAAAATAATAAAAACTTGGTACGGCTCGTTAAATTGCCTATAGAAATACGATCCCACGCGTGGAACGCGTTACACCTTCGATCGAAATGAATTTTTTCTCGCGTACGTACCGAGCGCGATTTTATAAATTTTTTTTATTATACGATGAAAAAAGAACGTCGTGCTCTCGAGAGCCCTTTAGCGAGAGAAGCCGGCATCGCGTGCATACTCTCCTTTACTGTTCCGATAAAAGAAATCATAAGCGCTTTGATTCGCGCAACGGCCACGATATTACGTCACTCTGTTTGTTAACTCGGACTCTACTCGACTCGTGCAGAATGCCAATACAAGTCGCCTCCCCCCAGCTCTTCTGACAAAACAAAAGTCCGTTTCTCGGTAACTCGCTTGGCTGTGTGTGTGTGTGTGCTTTTTAATTGCTTTTGTCGAAGCCGAGCTGTATATTTGATTTGTAACTTTTATCGCGACGTGCAACGGATCGCAAACTTCGGGAGAATATTTTCGGCCTCTGGCATTCGCTCCTCTCGTGTTACGCGCCCGAGTCGACCCGAAAGTTCGCGCCCTTTTCCTTCAGTTTTGGATATGGATTAAAAACCCAATGATGGATATCCATTAGCGCGACATTTTCGTTACTCACCGGATGTCATTGACCTTAATGGTTGGACAGCAAGTACGCACGTAGCTACTGTACAGGTCATCGGGATTTTCTTCGGAGCATCTGCCGCTAACTGTTGGCTCTTATCGCAGCGACATACTCCACGCACATACAGCCATTAGACTGGACACACACGAGCATGAGCCAAAAATTTACCGAGCCATTGACATTTTCCCATACAGACATAATGTGTGAAAATTACAGCTGCAAAACCAATGAACACATCACAACTGTTAGCATTTACAGGAGACTTTTTAGCACCATGTAATGTATTTCCCATCGAATTAAAACTTTGACTTGTGCCACACAGCAGCCGTAGACAGCGTATGCTATGTCGTACGAGCATAATTTATAAAGCTGCGCTTCGACGCGTTCGCTCGTCTTCTATATTAATTCACTTCGTTAGCCGGCTAATGTATTTTAATTGACGCGTGCTGCCGAAGGCGAATGCCGCACATGTACACAATAGAGAAGTGTCAGCTTGTGTCTGTGTATAGCGTATACTGCAGCACTCGCACACAGACGTCTGCGCTACAGGCGTCAAGGTACATACAGCCGCAGCACATCCCGTCATTTGTATGCAGCGATTAATTGTGCCTAAAGTCGATCATCGGCTGCGCTTCTTCCCTCGCGGAGGCGATCAATTTTTCCATGTATATTAAACAGGCAGCGATGTACACGAAAACTTGTACGCGCCGTAAAGGTTGATATACCCGCGAACGATAATCCGATTACGTATACACGACGACGACGACAATCGGTTTTGCGGCTTTTAAAACTTGAAGCTCGGCTGAGTGGCTTAACGAGATTACGCACATAAGCGCGACAATTCGTTTGTCTTTTTCGTAACTTTTTGCGTCCGCTGTATACACGTGCTCCAATATTATGCACTCGCGGCGCGCATGCATATTATAAAAGTTGAAATTCAATCGGGAGATTATGAAATTTTCTATATCGCGAAACTTGAGGTGCCTGTATACACACACACGTGCATCTGTAAAAATAAGAAATAATCGACGTGTCTTAGAGCCGAGACACTCGCATAAGTCAGCTGTGACAAGAGTAACGCAATAACGAAACGTTTCTCACAAGTATATCGTTACCTGGACTACATTTTTTCAAGTGCAGCGCAAAAAGTTATCTCGACTGGGAGCTTGGACTGCATAACTATGCATCGTACGATCGAGTCTTCTTTTACTTTTCTTTCGCTGGAAATGAAAAGCCCGCAGTATTCAGAAAATGTTTGTATACATGGTATTTTTCGTTTTAGCGCGAACGATTACGCTTACTCGACTTTTTTTCTTCTTCTTATCTCTCGAGATGTATGCGTGTGCTTTTTTTCTCTCGACTTTATGTCATTGTCAAGACTCCTTCGCTAGCGATTTTTACTGCGATTCAATTCGACGCTGTACAATAATCATGCTTATACATTCGAGATTTCCGTACGCCAAAATGTGGCGCGTGTACACAAATTTGCTTCGAATTAAAAAGTGCTCAAGCAAGCGTACCGTGACTCTTTCGAGGGTTGTTCTTGCGAATACAATCCCCATCGCACCTTGCGCGTCCGCCGCCATGAATTCGAGTTTCCATTCTACGTATATAGTCCGCTCAATGTACGTTATATGAAGTTTAAGACGTGCACAACGCGAACAAGTCAACGAAGAAGAAGGAAGAATAAGGGCGGAGTCCTTGCCCTACACACGCGCGAGCTGCGATGCACAGGTATATAAGTCAAGCTCTGTTTGTTGCACCTATATTACCAAGGCGGGCGAGATAGTGACTTGGCAACGGGGGCCTCTGTTATATGCGTCGTGCAACTCGCACAGTACGTGTGCGTCCAGTACCTAGGGCCCCTCCTCGCGCATTGGCTCGTGTGCAGGACGCACCGATCACGCCTTCCGATTCGTGTGTACCTGTATATGCAACGCGCTCGCCCGCGTCTGCATCTGTGCGATGTATGCCACCGTCCCCTCCAGCACCTTCCTTATTATACGTGCAGCGTGCGTATCTTGTTTACCAACACTCACGTACGCGTGCTGATCTCGTATGAATTTGACCGGAAACCAATAATATTGTATGGTTTCAGTGCTGTGTATGCAACGGGACGACGACGTTTTCGGGCCTCTTTAATTTTATCTCAAGTTTTAATAACATTGATTCGGTTACAAAATGTTACCATGAGAAAATAATATTTAAATATTTGCCTCTTGATTTACAGCTGGACCGCCCAAGACCATCGCGAGGCTCTAAGACGTTAAAATCTAGCGATTATCAACGCCGTTGCTCGCTCCTCGTTTTCATTCCTTCCTTCCTTTCTTCCTTTCTTTCCTTCCTTCGAGCCTATCGTCGTCACTCTGTCTTAGAGGCCAAGTGATATGTTAACTGAAGACAATGACCCGACCAAGCTAGCTGGGGTCTTAGACAATACCGGCAGCGTCTCTTCTTCGTCCGAGAGCTCGATTCAGCAGTCTCGTGCCTCCAACAATGGTAAGCTCGCACCGCCTTGTTATCCAATGTACTTACAGTATAAATCATTCCCTACTTGCATTTTGCGACCTTCATTTGTCATTGTATAATACAATTAATATAATAATATAATGCAACAAAAATGCACCTTGCACGATAATTTCTTCCACGTGTTACTGAATAATAAGGAACAAATTTTCTTCCTTTTTTTTTCAAATAGTATGGCTTTATACGGGAAGATGAATATTTTTTAATCAACGCACATTTTCTGAATCATGTCCTCCAGTGACTCGAATTACCTCAAAATTTGTTATGTGACACACTAGACCTGTATGAATGTAACTAACTTTACTTACTTACTTACGGGTACGACAAATTGACGTGCTAAGCATCTAGCGGCGACGCGTCTATACTTCACTTATAAAAATGTGCTGTGGAATCTGCTTATTATATCCTCGTACGGTTAATATGTCCAAAACACTCGATCGGTAAACATTTACATTAGTATTGAATTCGGCCTCCATTTATAAACTGACCAACAGACAAGAATGTTTCACCATGAATAAAAGAAAATATTTATTAATCGAAAATGAGCTTAATTTATTCAAACGTTACGATAGTGAATGTTCATCATTAAGTCTATGTCAAACGGGTGTGAAACTTGGTATCCCGTGAACAACCGTTGCGGCAAGGGCCTTGTTAGATTATTATTACAAAAAGGTGATTTAAAAAATGCTGTAATTGATATTAAAAATAAAAAGGAATGGCAAAGATCTAGACGTTGAAAAAATATTGAAAAAATAGTTCGTGAGTATCCGCGATAAAGACGCAAGAGTTAATGGTCTTATAATGAAACAAAAAGCAGGAAAACCTTTTCTTCTCCGTCTATTGAGTTTATTGAGTTTCCTTCCTGCTCCTTGGCGACGATGTAAATCATAAGAATAAATTGAAAGTCGATCCACGATCTCTCCACTCAACTACTACAATAACACTATTACAAAAACGATAAAAAAACACGAAGCAAAGAGATATCTAAGAGAAATGTTGACGTGTCGAAAGCAGAAGCCGAGGTCAAGAACGAGATACAAGACTGCCCAGACGCCGAGAGCGTGCCCGGTGGCGAGCTCTACATCGACGAGAACGCCGACGAGAAGGAGCACGAGTACGCCGATCCGATGGACAAAGTGGACTACGGCTCGGCCGTCTACAATCCCACGCACTTTTATCCAAGGTCAGTACACAAACAGCCGATCAGAAGAGCAATACAGTTTCCGTGAAAAATTGACACTTGGTTTTTTGTTGTCACCACTTCAGCATATACAATTCGCCGTCGTGCGGCGGCATAGCCGGCGCCAAAGGCTCGTCCGCGCTGCCGAGCTCGTATCTGAGCTCCTACACGGCGCCGAGCTCGATGACGCAGTACTCCACGTACGGCGGCTACAACAGCGGCTCCACGGGCTTCACCGGCGTACCCCAGAACATATCCACGGCTTCCCAGGTGCAGCAGTCGACTATTTTCATCCTACCTCTTTCTCGATCGAAACCAATAAATGCAATCGTTATTTTACTTTGATGCAGAAGCTCGATTACACTGCCTACAGTACGTCGCTCTACAGCAACGACAGGGTTCCGCTGCAGTATCCAGGATATTACTCGGTGCCGGGATACCACACGTCGCCGGCCTCCTTCAACATAAGTAATTTAAATTTCGTCGGTGAGTACGAGTACACAGACTTTTCTTTTTTTTCTCCGCAATTAGCGCGTTATACTTATTGTATGATCGCCCGCGACTTTGATCGCGGTTTAGACGACGCGAGCAGCTTTATATAATGAATCGGTTAATTCGAAGTCTAGACTGACTCGATGCGTCGCAATGCGTGGCTTACACATAAGACAATAAAGACATTTGACGCGGCAACTTTGCTGGATATTGAATATTTTTTACGACTTTTCAGTTTTCGTAGTTATTATCGAGTGATGCATTTTTATTTTTATTTTGTCCCCCCTTCAGACTCAAGCAAATCAGCCCTGACGTTGGACGGAGCGCCTCACGATTCGAACGACCTGACCGCGAGAGACGCCGCTGGCATCGAAGGTATATTACATTCATCTATATTATTTTCTTCCTTTCTGAACGGGCAAATAAAATTTTGCAAAAATCGTGTACTGTATGAAATCGAAAACGAAACTGCAGATCGCCATTAATGACAAAAATTGACTCTGTTCCTATTTCAATGCACGCCGACGATCAAAACAAAGTCGGATTATGCTCTCGGTCGAACGGGATTTATACGAGTAGAATAAATATCGGGTGCATAAAAAGCTGCATCGAAGCCGCTATATAATAACACCGAAAAGCGCCGAGTTTGCAGTAATGAAAATTCAAGCTTGCGACTGGCAATACAATACTCTCTCGCTCGGCATTCCACTCTCTCTCTCTCTCTCTCCGTCTTTTTCTGCTTCTCTCTTTAACGCGCACAAAACGACAAAAAAAGTACGAGCGTCGAGCCGCGGGTGTGCTTGGGTCATTCACACTCTCGCGCGAGCCGTCGTCCGATCATGATCGTATCAGCCTGTGACTCGACCACTTCGACAGGTTTAGGCGGGGTCGGCCACGGCGGAGGCGGCAAGGCCTGCAAACGCGGACGCCGACAGGCCAACAGTCAGCTCGGCGCCGGGGGCGGCGGCCTGAACAGCGGCAGCAACGTCCTGCCCGGGGGACAGTCGGCCGCGGCGGACACGACGGCACCGGGCCCCGATCGCATATTCATCTGGGACCTCGACGAGACCATCATACTCTATCACAGCCTGATGACGGGCGCCTACGCGCAGGCCCACAACAAGGACCCCAATGTCCTGGCCACGCTGGCCTACAGGCTCGAGGGCATGATCGTCGCCCTCACCGACGAGCACTTCTTTCTGCACGATATCGAGGTGAGCAAAAATTGGAATTTCAATGGGAAAATTTGAACGAATTAATACAATTGCGTACGTCCGGCAGAGCTTGCGCACGCAGGACTGCGAGCAGGCGCACATCGACGACGTGGCCTCGGACGACAACGGCCAGGACCTGAGCAGCTACAACTTCGGCAGCGACGGCTTCAGCTGCGACACGAGCTCGAACGGCGGCGCCGGTGGGGGCGGCATCTGCATGCCCGGCGGGGTGCGCGGCGGCGTCGACTGGATGCGAAAGCTGGCCTTTCGCTATCGCAAGATCAAGGAGACCTACACGTCGCATCGCAACAACGTCGGGGCCCTGCTGGGGGCCAACAGGCGCGAGCAGTGGCTGAGTCTGCGCGCCGAGATCGAGGCCCAGACCGACAGCTGGCTCACTCTCGCCCTCAAGTGTCTCAACATCATCGCCAAGAGGCCCGACAGCACCAACGTCCTCGTGACGAGCGACCAGCTCATCGTGACCCTCGGCAAAGTCCTCGTCTGCGGCCTCGGCGGTATCTTCGGCATCGAGAATATCTACTCGGCTTCTAAAACCGGTTGGTATATGTTGCCTTATTCGTCTGTGCTATCGAGACTCGCCGATTCTTATCTGAACCAGTGATCGCTTGCAAGAGAGATGCGTCCGAGAGATATAAACGCGTGTTTGTGTGCCGTGAATGCGGAATTTCTCGTAAACTAATTTTTCTCCCTTTTGCCAGGCAAAGACAGCATCTTCAACAAGGTGAAGGCGCGCTACGGCCGCAGCTGCACCTACGTCGTCATCGGTGACGGCGCCGAGGAGGAGACCGTGGCCAAGGCGCACATGCTGCCCTTCTGGAGGATCAAGGGCCACTCGGACATCAGGGCGCTCTACAACGCCCTCGAGATGGACTATCTGTAACGCGCCTCGCTTTCGCCAACGACTAAATCTATTATACCGCTCGAGATCATTCGATTCGTAAAGTACAAAGAAGTAGAATATTTTTTAAGGCCAAGAGATTGTTTTTACTTAAAAATTTTTCCACGCGACGTTGTACAAAATTAAGGGGATTTCGAGACATCTTTACGAGTTAATTCAATTTTAGCTTTTAGTATAATGAAAGTATATATGGATAAAGTTCGGAGCTTGAACGAATGTTGGCCGATTAACTGAATCGAGAAATGAAAGTAGCGAAGAATCAAAACTATTTTCGCCGTTAAACTTTAAACTTTACATTACTGTTCATTTAATTAATTTATCAAGTTAATTTTATCGTAAAAAAAGAAAAATTAGAATGTAAGGTATCATCCTCTGTACAGACAGATAAGACCAAATATGAAAGTAAATATGAAAGTAAAACTTAAAATAACGGAAAATTTAATGAAACGTTCATATTATCGAGATGAATTGTTTTCTGAACCGAACGTAAGATTGAATTACGCGAGCTTTTTTTATTACTTATATACGAATGTTTCAATGATGAGAGAAAGAAATTGTGACTAATGAATGTGAAAATCTCGCGAACTTACGTAAGTGTGCGTGTACTTAAGTATAACAGCAAAAGATCGTTTTAATCTAAAACTACTATTTTATCTGTGCAATCGTGCGCTCTATGATGAGAAAAAAAATGACCTAACGTCTCTGTGATTTTAAGATAAAAATGAATTCATATTTATGCTGCTTTCTTTTGCGGTAAAAAAAATTAAGCTCACTCAACAATATTATTTATGAATTAAATATTTAAGATCTAAATATATTTTCCTGCAAATAACCACGTCGAGCAACTAGTCGAACGTATGCAAGAATTACTTCCTTCGAAAATGAATTTAAAAAACTGTTCAAATTATCGTAAAAATATTGTGCACTTTATACAATTTACTTCTGAGAAATAAAAGTTTTATTCGTAAAAATGTAAAATAAAATTTATTATTGTAAACGATTTGCAAGAAGAATATTATACATTTATGGCAAAACTATCATAAAAAGATTTTTTTCTAAATCAATGGGTTTTCATTAATTCAAATAAATGTTTCCAAAAAATATAATTTTATACTTAAAAATATTGTATTTCGATGTTTTACAAACTTAGTACAAGAAAATATTTTGATATTTAGTCATCAAGTCTTTTTATTGAATCAATAACTATGATTCATAGCCGTTTATAACTGTAATATCACGTAGTTTTAGGATAATTTAAACTTCATTTTCTTTAGAGATTCATCGTGATGTTCAGGAACTATGCCGCAATAGCATACGTGGGTGCTGTCAGAACACCACAATTATTATCTTTTTGAGCCATTAATATGTAACCGTCGTTACCCCAGTAATTGGACCAAGAATTTTTAACAAGCCAATATCCTTTTCCATTCATCGTTCCATATCCAACGGCTAAGACAGCATGATCCAGTGACATTTCGGTATTTCCTAATCACAAAATGTTAATTAGATTTCAAAAATAAATTGAAATATTCAAAGAAGATAAATTGTCATTACCGCATGATGGTTCGTAGTAAACACCATTCGAATAGAATGAAAACGTTTTATGAGAGGCGTCAATTGCGACAGAAATGGGACCGTGCTTGAAGATTGCCAGTTTCATGGCATCAATATCTCCAGTTTTAACATTTACGAAGCCCTTCAATTTTGCGATTTGAGTCACATTTTTAACGTGACAGTATCCATCCTAGAAATATTATTTGAACGTTAAAAAGTATTTGATATTTTAAAAAACTACATTTGTTACATTAAATATTAACCTGGCCAAGATAACCACCGTATTCTTCTTCCGTTGGTAATCCTCCATGTTTTATTATCCACTGGTAGGAGCGGAAATCTTCACCTCCGTCACATCCATTATTACCAAAGCCCCACGAGCAATCAATAAGAGCCTGAATTACAAGAATAATGTTAGAATAACAAAACAGTTTAATTTAATGAAACGAAACGATAGATAATTACCTGTTGTGAAAGTCTTACTAATTTTTTGTACTTCATATAGTAAGCTCCTTCAACTGCTCCAGTTGTACCGAAACTCCAGCAGGATCCACAGACAGATTGATCTAATAGAAAAGTAATTATTATAAAAAAAATTCTCTCAACAAATGATCAAATATTTACGTACCTTTAACGGGTGTAACTGCGCCATATAATCTCCAATCAAAGCTTTCTGGAACATCATTTTTCTCTTTTTCAACGTCATGGGGGAACGGCAGTCCTCCATTATCACCGTGCTCGGTGTATTGTTTTCCACGCAAAACTTTTAATTCGGCATCAGAGCGATCGGCTAACTGATTTACATCTAATGTGAAACCCAAATTAGCTCGATTCAAAGAATGAATATATCTAAATAATAACATTTCAATGAGTAATGAGTTGGAGCGTTTCAATTCATTTCGTGTAAATTTCATTAAAATGTACAACTTTACCTGAGATTATGTTTAAAATGTTCTCTTCTTGTTTTGTGTTCTACTTCATGGGCATAAGCTTTCTTATGTAGACTCTTATAGCGATCGAAAGCTAAATCAACATGATCTTGATGATTATGGACAAATTCTTTAATGGGATTGAAAGTATAAATGCGATGTTCTCCTGGTCCAGGAAAACTTATACAAGAGGAATCTGTTTAGGAAATATTTCAAATTAAAATTTTAAAAATATACGAGTTCTACAAATAAATTACGATATTTACTTTGTTCTACTTCAAATACTTCAGAGCTAGGAGTTTCAGAAGAAAACCAGTCATATTCCAAGTAGTAGTGATCATAATGGGATCCTAAGAGAGTATTGAAACCCTTCATCTCATAGCGTACTGGAACTACTTCTTTCATTGGAGGTGAAGAAGAAGATTTCTAATAAAAATGTTCATTAGATGATTGATTTTTATGTTGAATAATTTAACAAATACAAAATTAAATTTTACTTTATAACGAATCCACAAAGTGTATTTATTAGTTTTTTCACCAATAGTTTCAACAAGGCGCCATTTTTCACACTCAACTCCATTTATCATATCGGATCCAATACACTGTAAAAAAAGAACAATTGAAAATAGCGACAATGTTAAAATTTATTTTTATTAATTTGCTGTATTCAAAATAGTAAAAAATACCTGCATTCCCGTTGTGTCAGGTATTATAGTTTGAGGTGTAATTTTCTGTTCATATGTTCCATTTACTTGTAAACAAGTTTCCTGATTCTCTGCTTCTTCAGTAGTAATTGGAGCAATTTTAATACTAGATCCGTAAGAACCCTCAGTTGAAAGTTGGTAGGTCTTGACCATACCTAAAATTAAAAATAATAGTTAATTTATTTAAAAAAAGTCATTTCAGCTAAAATAATGGATATTTACCTCCATAATAATCTATTCTACTTCTGCCTCCTTTGCCATCATACCAAGCATAAAAAGGCTCTCTAATTTCAGCATATGGAATATATAATGATCCTTTGGCAGTGTAAGCATTGCTGAAAATTGGTGCTTGAACTGGATTTGCAGAACAATATCCTAAAGTATAAACAATATGCTATGTAGTATATTAACTAATTTATATTAGATTGATAATCTCAGTGTTTATTTTTAAAATTTTAAACTTACCGCACAGCAACAGAATACAGATAAAGGTAAGAGTATTCATCTTTATTCTGCTTCTGAAAAGAAATCTGTATGATTAATTTGATAACTTTTGACCTTAATCGAAACTGCTATCAGTTATAATAACATACATAATAAACATAGGTCAGTGATAATCACTGCATTGTGGATCATTTCTGAGTTATTAAGAATGATGCAATGTCTTTCAAATTCTGAGAAACTAAAGAAAATTCTTAAGGCTTGAGCATCATAAACATATATTATCAGTAGTGATTCACATTAAATGTTTACAAATATTTTAATAACGATGTATAAAAAATCTTATTAAAAAAAGGATTTTTTAATGTACATACATTATTTAGATTATAGGGAAACAACAGTGTCTGATGAAAGATGCGAAATTGGCGATTTTAAAAAACTCAGCGAGAAACTTGAATATATAATTTGCATGATCAAATTTTTAAAAGAAAAAAGATTGTATTACATACCTCTGGAAAAACTTCAAGAGAAGCACCGAACGATGCGTTGTAACGTTCTTACAACGACTGACCGACGTCGCATAAATATAATATATCGAGCTGCAAGCGCAAAGCAGTGGCTTTATTCTTTTGTGTCGATTGTCGACGTGCGGGATCAAAGATCCAAACAACAACAACTGCTACTCTATCTTTGTCTTTCTCACTCCCTCTATCTTTCTATCTCACTCTATATACTCGTCTTTGTCTATTCACTTACTAATGTGCCACGGATATCATTTCTCGAGGGCCAGTTTCAACTCACAGTCTGTCTGTCCCTGTCTCTCTTTTTGCGCATAAATGAATGAATCAGTAACTGAATGACTGTGCGGGTTTGATTGTTTACGTTTTGTACATTTAACATCGCACTGCATCTGCAGTTTTAAATGTAACATTAAGTTGATACGCGTAAGGTAACGCCGCTGCCGGCAAATCGGTGAAATTGTTAACTAAGTTTTCAACTTTTATACATACAACATCACAATCACTTCACTTGAAAATGAAATTTTTATGCGAAAAACGCAATTTACGCTTTAAATTATCGAGCAAAGTTGAAAATATAATTGTAACGTTGTTAAATAGAAAACAAAAACGAATCAATCAATAATCGCATTGCAGTGAAACAAAAAAATGATGGAAAATTAAATTTATCGATGAAAAAAAAAATTGAATACGTTTTATGAATGTAATAGAAATGATGATTTCATTGACTTTTAAAGCCCGCACAGCACAGCTGATCAAAATGATTTTACGTAATTACAATATTTTATGTGTATAAACTGTCTCTGTTGAGTTTGCATAATTCATGGATGAGTATAAGATACCGATTGATTATTACAGTTTGTTACTAAATCGTCGCGGACGGAGGGTATGATTTTCTCTAATAAAAATAATCGCAGCTAAAAGACTTTGGTTTAAAAAAAGGATAAACCTGTTGATATGAAAGTTCAATGGCTTTAAGAAGCAAAGTTATTAATCTGTACAAAACCGTAAGTGATTTATACACCGTAATTGATTAAGAAAAACAAGTCCAAATTTCCTAATATTTTTTTTACATAAGAAAATATAGTTTTTTATGATAAAAAGGTGGCTCATTCAATTCTCATTAAACATAATTTATTTAATCCGATAACATAACCAATTCATTACAGATAACTTGTCTCTTATAACGCATTATGCCATTTATTGCAGCTACTCTACATGGGTCGAGATTATCCCCAGGGCTACGATTATTTTCGAGACAAGCTAAGAAAAGCTTTCGATAAGAATCGCCACGAAACTGACCCAACTCAAATAAAAAAGATGATAGTTCATGGTAACTATGTCATAAGGGAGCTGCAAGCTCTTTATATGTTGAAGAAGTACCGAACGATGAAAAAAAGATATTATGACGAATCGCCGAAATTATGAGAGCGTAAATAAAATTCGGAAAATTTGTGATAATTTTACCGCAAGGAATTTGACGATTGAAGTTTTATAGTCGATATAAGACAATATTTTGTAAATAATTTTTGTTGTCGAAAAATAAATAAATATTTTTTCATAGAATGTAATAAGTATCTTATTTTCCTCTATCTGAACGATTCAAATTACCCCAAAGTTAATCATTGTCGAGTTTTAACTAATGGAACTCGTTGAAAGTATTTAACGTTTTCTACATCAAACTACAATTAGTACCTAAAGATTAACCGTGTCTGCTAGGCTGCACTTTGCAGTGCTGTGAATTGTGATGTAAATATAACCTAAAAGTTAAATTGAAATGTCATATGTGACATGAATACACCGAGCTAACACTTTTTAAGTTATTGATTAATTGATTAATAACCATGGCTGTTTGTGTAGCTGTCATAGGAAAGGATGTGAGTTTTTTGTTTGAAAATCGAGTCAATTCTTTAAGGATTAAATTTAGTCTATGATTCTTGGAATTTAGTTGTAGCATAACGACGATAAAACATTAAAAAGTATGAACTGTATTGTTTCGAATTTAATTTTAAAAAGTTTATGTTTTTGTTTAGAATTCTCCAAAGTATATTAAGTGTGTGGACGAGACAAATGCCCTTCAGTTTCATTACAAAGTACACACATCAATTGATATTGTTGAAGAAAAATTAAACATTGGAACTAAAACTGTAGCTGATAATAAAGAACTATTTTTGGGAATGCTTTACTCAACAGAAGAATATAAAATGTAAGTAAGAAATTTACACAATTTCATACTACAAATATTCAGTTATTATGCAATCTTTAAAATTATTACAGTTTTGGATACGCAACAAATACTAAGATCAAGTTTATTATAGTATTACAATCTTCAAATGCAACTCTAAGAGATAACGAAGTGAGAATGGTAAGTTCTATGAAATAATTCTCATAGGTTTGAAGAAATTTAAATTTATCCAAATGTGTACTCATCTCTCATTAATGAATTTTAGATGTTTAGAAAATTACACATCGCTTATGCTAACGTTGTAAGTGATCCTTTCTACATTCCAGGAGATCAAATTAAATCCAAGTATGTTTTTTTTTATTAAACTTTTCTTTAATCAATTGTTCATACATTTTATGAAATTAATTTTCTAGGACTTTTGACTCTGCTGTGAGTGAAATTATGAGTTAGCTGGAGTGTCAGTCATTCAATCTATACTTTCTATTAAAAGAGTTATATTGATACATGTAAAGTATTTGTATATTATTCCCAGTATATTATTGAAAATCTAAGTTAAGTTCTTTTTATTTATCTTATAAGATTTTATTTTTCGTGTGAAGAAGTTAATTTTACTTCATTTTTTATTAGATTATCTAAAATAAAATATAATATTTTTTAATAAATTTTTGTGCAATTTTTATTTTATGATGTGAGTGAAATTTGCTAAAATCATATTTAATATAATTCAAAGTTATCATTTTATAGTAATTTAAAACTTTTTTTGAATTGGTAGCAATAAGGTGCAAAATTATAAGAAAAGTATATTTTTTAAAGTCAAATTTATTTTAAGCTTTCAAAGATAATGAAAAAGTACATTTATAATTTAAAAACATTTTAATTATTAATATGAAATTCAATTTTTAAAGTACAAAAAGTTTCTTTTGTAAAACATGTTAATTTTAAAGCAGAAGAATATGTTAATTGTAATTAGTATCTTTGACCTTGATATTTATAATTATTCGGATTGAGTTGTTCTGATCTATTATTGATGTTGTCCTGGGTAGGTTGATACAAACGATTGTTCTTGTTCAGCTGATTGGCTCTATTGTCGATGGCATTTTGGTCCCTTGCAGAATTTTGGTACTGCTGTTGGTATTGATAATTTTGTCCTTGACGATCGGCCATCTGAAGAAAAACCAATGTTCACAAATATAGTCATTTGTTATCCCAATTTCAATAAAACCAAAATTGAAGTTAATCGCGTACAATTTCAAGCTTTATATCAATATAAAATGTGCTATATATCTCAGTAAAAGTAAAACCTAATCGACTGAAATAAAATGTACTCATTGAAAAATCGAATAGAACTTACTTTTGCAAGAACGAAGAGGTGACTGCGTATCGGATGAGAATAAAGCTCAAAGCTGCGAATATATCGATGATGGTCGGAGAAGTGTTGTGCAAGTCCAGGATAACGCCCGTATTTATAGGACGAGCGTGACTCTTTTTTGCCCCTCCAAAAGACCCGCGCGTACACGCAGTTGGCCATATTTACGCTCGCTGCGTAGCGATCGAACGTGTACGATTTTTTGGTGTCAAAGAGCAGAGCTTACAAAGTAATTATGCTTTTTTTCTAAAACTTTGAAAATTGATAGATTTTCAAAAATATTAATGCACTAGCTTACGATTAAAAATACTAAAAAAGGAACAAAGCTTTATCGGATAAGTCTATGCAATTTCAGGGCTTATTTTCCGCTTGGTTGCTTTATCCAAAATCCCCATGGTGCGTAATGTTCTCCATTTTCTTCTTTCAACTCGCCTCGAAAAACTTTTATTCTCACTCGTGGCACTAACATAAAAAAATATCGATAAAAGAATGAATTTTTTAATATCTTCGAGAAAAATTGATATTTTTATAAATTCTACCTTCGCTCAAATTTTCTTCTTCGCTCGAGACCGAATTTTCCTCGCTTTGCGCATTGACCATCGCGTTGATCACGACGAAGCTAAAATAAAAAACAAGTAGTCTCCTCATGTTGTCCACAAAAATCTGAGCGCTTGCCATATCGACGGCTCTCCTTTTATAGACTGCCATTGATTATCGAAAAATGGAGCGTGACCGTGGTCGATTTCTTTGTCACCCATCAGGTGCGTCGATCTCGCCTCTGCACGCTTTTACTATTCGAGAAAGTTTGACCAGATCTCGATTGATATGATTTTAAAATAGGTAAGTTATGATGGAATAAAGCAAATCAATGCAACTCACAGGAGATAAAATTTCAGTTATATATTTTGTTTCAATTTTTTTCACTTCTTTTTAATATGGAAATCCCGTTACAGTAAATCGTACGTTTGATAAATAACGCCTATTACAATAATATATGCAACATTTGTTTAACACTGAGATGTAATTAATATAATATCGAATTTGTCAACTATTCTGAAAAGGCTTTTTTCAAGTTCGTGTGCGGTTTAAACATATTACATACCACGATCGTGTCGCATATTTTTGCTCTTTTCAACGATTATCATCATTCTTGAATGCGAAAAAAAATTTGAAAATTTACCGATCTACGCCAAATTGAATATGTATTTGCACGTGGACTCGTGTCAGCCAGCCGCACGAGAATCAGAGATTATATCGAACCATCCTCGGGCTGATTTTTCGTTTTTATCATTGTGGTTTTTTAAATCGATGAGCTACCGTAATTTTTATATGATTTGTGTTACACATTCGGTTGTCGTATTCTATAATTTTAATCCTTTTTTCCTTTTAACTTGTGTACATATATAATAATTTTCTGTCATATTTATAATATGTTGCAACTGAAATATATATAATTCTATTTATTTATTCTTTTTTTCATATGTATACACGCATATATATCGAGATTTTATTTACACATAATCGTGTGTATAGACGCAATATGGTTACATATTACAATCTTTGGAAGACATACGTTTGTTTGTGTATATTTATATATAAGTTAAATCTGAGCTTTCGAAGCGATATGCGAATCGCATAATGCGATTCGATTTGTATAATGGGTAATACTCGAAACTGTGGTATATTACAAGATTCGGAGATTATGTTTTTCTCACGTTCGCAACAATCATCGCCATTAAAATTTTGATTTTGATAAATATCAAGACCCTAAAAATTTCAATAATATGTAATCTCTCTGACGACTTTTCATAAGCGATTCTCTCAAAGAATAGATTATATGTAATATTTTTATACATAGACTATTATCTCAATGCAGGAGAAAAAATTTGAACTACTAACAAATCTCGCGTGTAAAGCGTCAAAAAATTCACCTGATGTTTCTGGCTTAATTTAACAATTGTAATTTTTAATACAGTTATAAGTTACAATACAAAAACTCGGAAGACGTTCGATCATAAATATTTTTAATTATTTGTCATCACATTTTTATACTGTATATTGTCAATTTGAAAAGTTTCCATTTGATAAAGAAACGAAATTCTTTCGCATCGATCCATGGGATTCACATAGGGTGAATTCCACCGCCAGCTGTCTCGAACAAACAATCATAAAATTCTTCGAAGTCGTGCACGATTAACAAGTGATTTTTTTGTAATACTATATACCATAAACTATATAACTGGAAACAGAAAAACAATCCTATCTCCTTTTCCTTTGTCTTAACATACGTTATCCACGCGTTTACGATACCGGATACTTCCGATCGAACAAAAATCCCCGCGTCGCTCGTGTTCGAACATCGTTTACAAACTCCTCGAGCCGAGCCGGTGATTGATATTTTTTTTTATTTCTTGTTTTGTTTTGGAAGACATCGATATAAGTGTACATGATATAGAGAGAGAAAGCAATGCAGTCTCATTATTTTCTTATTGTCCGACACGTTTTATAGTATTTTGACATTTTATAATATAATACGGCTATTGCTGATTTTTTTTTAAAATACTCGCGTCGTGATTACCCTTGGTTTGCAAACAACTGGAAGACATACGGATTACAGGTAATATAATTATATCAACGTCACGCAAAAATCAACGAGCTTAACTTTGATTTATCGATTGCGCATATTTTTGTGTGCATCTTTTTTTAATATAATATGGATATTAATTTTACGTCGAAGATAAAAATCTCCGTGGAAGACGTTCGTTACAATTGAGCCGAACGAGACATGCCCATTCGGTTAAGTACAATACACTGTAAGTTTTTAACTTTTTCATCATATCTTAAAAATAGATAATACTGTTTGCATTTTTGATCGAAATTTCGCGAAAATTATAGAAAATTAATCTATATAAAAAACTAAATAAATTATACTATTAAGTATAATACATACACTGAAAACATATCAAAGATAAATTCAGGAAGGTATATGCCCTCAATATTTTTTCAATGTGTTTTCACAAAAAAAAGATCTTCCTATAAATCACAGATTTTCTTAAGAAAGTTAATAGACTTAATTTAACTAACTTAATTTTTTTACCCGAAAATATATAAAATACATACGTTTAATTATTACTTAAAAATATTATACTGAATAAAAATGTATGTAATAATGAATAAATAATGAATAAAAAGATTTGTATCAAAGCAGTCCCATCTACCGATTAACAAAAATTCACATTTCGTTCAAACTTTTTATCTCATATCTCGTTGACTCTCTTCTCTTTCAAAACGTACGCAGTTTCAAGCATGGTACAGTTAAAGTTGATTCCCACGCAAAATATTTTTGTTCAGTTATTTTTTTCTACGTATTGAACAAACTCCATGTGCACTCAATGACACGACGAAGATAAAAAAAATAAAAACAATAACAACGAATAAAAAATATCTCGTGGCTCTCATTCTCACTTGTGCTATTGACGATTTTTCAGCTTTAACCGAATTTTTCGCTCACTCGCTTGACTGCAATTTTCGAGTTTTAGTAATGTAAAATTAGGATACATATAGTTTATATAGATAATTCATTTTATGAATTGACTCATTTGCTTATTGTTTCATTGGAAGACTTCTTGTTTCGAGCTTGTAAACGCCACACGCAGTATAATACATTTTATTACTGATCTAGGTCTTACTAGTAAATTGATATATTTTTTTAATCACCAACAGTTCGTTATTTTTATCACTTTGAAAATTCATACTATATATAATATAGAGCGGTTAACATATCGACACGAGCAGTACATAGTCAAGTCCGTACATCAAAAGACATAAATCGGACTTTGGAAGACATGAGATTTACCGAATCAGCGATCAATCGAACGAATACGGATTAAGCTCAAAATTCAAGCTATATTCAAATACGTTTGTTATAAATCGACCAATAAAAGGCATTCGTGCAAAACTGGTCGTTAACGATTCTCATTTAGTGAAATCATGAAAAAATACGCACGTATGAGGAAGCTGAGTAAATTGCAGTCGAGCGAGGCGCGATCGTAAGAACTAATTTGTTCGTATATTCATGCGTAAGTGAGTCGCGCGAAATAATCCCAAGCGGGCAATAAGGTAATAAGCTTGATTTGCCTAAAACGGCAAACCGATCTCGAAGGCCTTGATGAGGGCTTTGCCGGAATCGAAGACGCCGATTATGCCGAAGAGCACGCCGAGAAAGATGACGAAGCAGTCGTAGAGCTTCTCGCCCTGCTCCATGCTGTTGCCCTTGAGCTTGAGATGGAAGTAGCAGGGCCAGATGAAGGAGAGCATGGTGCCGGTGAAGCTGCCGATGAAGCCCATGAGTATGCTGAAGTGCGGTATGAAGATGGCCATGAGTATGGTGAAGACGATGACGCCGACGCGCCAGGCCAGGCCCCAGACCTTGAGCTCGCGATCGAGCGTCCAGATGGTCGGGAAGGGCGTCTTGGGCTTGCCCCGGAACAGGGCCCGCTCGAGCAGCTCGCAGGCGGCGTAGTACGGCAGCGGATAGGACAGCAGGGCCTTGACCACGAGGCAGAGGTTCACCAGGCCCTTGAAGCCCGCCGAGTGCAGATTGTTCGTGATCACCTGCTGCGTGTCGTACTGAAAGGTGAGAAAGCAGACGTAGCCGAAGATGGACTTGAAGGCTGCCGCGGCGATGTGGCTCCAGTCAAGCATCCACGTGAACTTGCTCCGGTCGATCATGTTGCCCTCGAGGGTCGGCAGGAAGATCTGCGACGTGTAGCTGAAGACGATCACGCCCAGCGAGATCGGGAACGTCTCCATGTTGATGCTCCACTTGACCTTGGACCAGCCCCAGTCGCCGATCTCGAGGATGCAGTAGCCGATGATCACGGCGTTGATGAACAGATGCGACATCGTGCACCAGAAGCTCAGCACCGACACGTGATGCAGCGACTTGAGGAAGCCCAGCGGTATCAGGAAGATGCCGATCAGCTGCGACAGATTCGACAAATCGATTACGTCACTTTAAAAGGTCCACTGGCAATAGCTCAACCTCACCCATTCGTAACCCAAGAATGTTTTGGAAATAAATCTGAATTTACATTGAATACATTTATCAACAAGCTTTTTACGTTTGTTCGATAAATTTTACGGGAGCTAAGAAACTAGATCATATAAAAAAAGATTTTGTTTTCAATTATGGAAAATTGAACTTACATTAAACTTAATTCGTCGTATGATAAATTAGAAAAAATAAATTAAATTTCTTTCTCTTATTTACGAATTCTGAAAATAGCAGTTTTCAGCATGTTTTACGCATGTCTTTTCGAACAAAAAAATTGGGTTCGTTTCTCGGAAAACGTAAGCGAAATTCTCTTTTTTACGCTGGCCTCCGATGGAAAAAATATCTTTCGAAATTGAACTATTTGAAATAATGATTTCCATCATTATCGATCTGTAAAAGAATCTTAAAATCAATTCCGATTGATAGTAAAACCAGACATAAAAATTAAAGTAACAAATATTGGATTTTATTTTTACGGGATTTTTACACGAAATCTTCGTTAAAAATCAATCTAAGGATTGATTTATTTGTATACATAAAATACACAAAAATCCAGAAAAATGTAGTTAAATAAATCATTTTCAATTCAAAAATGAACCAAAGAGATTTAATTCTACAATCCAATAAAAAAATTATGATAGGGAATGAATGTTTTCATACTGATACTTTTTGTTAATGCTCAAAACTATTCATGAAATTTCCACGATTAGTAATGCCAAACTCTCCACCAATACATGGAGAGAGCCTTTATTTGTTAATCTGCAAGTGTCAAAGTGTTGTTATTACATTCAAATTCACGAAATCAATGCAACTGTAGTTTTATATTTAAAATAATATAATAAGCACATTAAAATTTGTTAGAAGTAACGATAAGGACGAAGAAAGTTTTTGTAACGTATATGAATCGGCTTTCACGTACAAGAAATAAAATTCACTGTGATCTGAATCAATTTTATGTAAATTTAGTGTAAAATTAATGTTAGTTGATTAAAATCACATAAATTTAAAAATTTTTATTTGGTATTAAATTTATGTACGTGGAGGAAAAAAACTTGCTCCACTTTTACACAAATTCGAACGTCAATGCTCTCACCATCATCCAGCTGCGCGCGTCAATCGCACCCTCGGGAAAGCTGCCGATCATGAGGTCGCCGCACACCACCACGTACAGTATGCAGGTCATGAGCAGCTCGATGATCTGGGCTATGTTGACGACGCGGGCGCCCACCCGCGGCCCGAAGCACTCCTTGGCGATGGCCACGTACGAGTCGCGCACCCGGACGCGCTGACCCGTCGCCGGGTCCAGCTCGTACAGGCACTCGACGAGGATCTTGCCGGTGTAGCAGCAGATGTGCGCCACCCCGATCATGGCGAAGATCGCCCAGTAGCCGCCGCGCAGCACCGCAAACGGCAGCGACACGATGAACATACCCTGCGTCATAGCCGCCCGAGGTCATTTTTTTACAATGGATTTTTGTTTAAAGCGTGCGATTCACGAGATCTTTACCTGGATCGCGTTGGTGACGTTCCAAGCAGCCTGCCATTCATCAATTTTTACGGACGTGTCGAATTCACCGCCACCGCCTCCGTCGAATTCGCTGCAACTGCTCGTCATGCTCGCTTGTCTCACTTGATCGCTGTTGTCGACGACAAATTTAAATCATGGTCATTTAGCACAGGTACAAGCGCATTTTCAATGCGAATAAATCTTAAAAAAAAACTTGAAAGCTTACCCGTTTCTTTGATAGCTGAAGGACTCCTCGGCCATCGTCACGTGCTTCTCGCCGTAAGTGTTGGTCGTGCCATCGTTGAGCGTCTGCATCTCGGCGGCCTCGCCAGAGCCCGCCGCCGGCTGCTGTCCGTAACCATCGGCGTTTTGATTGGGTCCACGGATCAGCTCCATACACGGACTGTTCTCCGGCCAGAGGGCCTTGACCGTCTCCCAGGCGACGTTCAACGTCGCTTGGGCCGACGGTATGAATGTACCGCGGAAGGAAGCCATCGCTGGCCTTGGACTGGAACAAACGATCGTTTCGAGTCATGATTATCCTGAATTTTCACTCTCTCTCTTTTTTATTGCATCACATTTTTAAGGATGAACGCGAGCGAATGAGTCACGTGTTTGGGTTCGGATGGATCGATAAATTTTAAATTACAACATTTAGCCTGGAGCTTGCGAAAAAGCTCTCGAAACTATAAATTAAACCCCTAGGCTTGAAAAAGTTCGATCAGAAACTGTAATAAACGCGCGTGCAAGGTTGCAGTTTTACCAACGTGGTCCCTCGCTCCATTTACCAAAAAAGAAGGGGGGCGAGAGAAAATACAAACGATTTGTCGCGCTCACTTTCTCCAACCGACCGACCGACCGACCGACTAACTGACTGACGTATCATCCCTCCTCGGAAACAGCTTCTCAGACCAACAAGTACCTATATCTATATATGCATGAGAAGATGTAGTCCAACGATCACTTCCTCGCCTCTGTGTACTTGTCAAAGCTCTCTATATTCAGCACGACGATTGTAATGCACAAACTCGCCCCCTCAAACGCGAAGAAAAAGAAAAAATGAAACTGGTCTTATCGAACGACTGAATGTTGGGGTGGGTATCGCTGATCTCAGGGAATAGAAACTTACGCTTATTCGATAATTAGTCCTCCTTTTCTCCCTCTGTCCGTTCGTGTGTGTTTGTGTATGGATGTTCGTACGTGTGAGGAATCGATCGCTCGCTCCACGCTCCGTGAGCGCTCCGTGAGCTTTCACTACCACTACTACTTTGTACTATCGCTATCCTCTCTGTGAAGCTTTACTGGCGAACTTGGCACATTACTATTTTTTTTTAGAGCTCAACTCATTCGATTTAGGCCGAGATCCTACGGCGATCTTGCGTTAACCCACTTGAAGATGGCTTATTTTTTATTATTACTTTTAATTTGTACTTTTTTTTATTTTATATTTTTTAATCAAACGACTGGTCGACTTTGAAGCGTGGCATTGGATGAATGGCAGGCTGCTGCGAAGAAAAATAAACGACGAAGGGCCAAGAGCCCGAAATTAAAAAGGGATCGCGACGATGAGGATACGCGCGTCGAGGAGGAAGCGACTCAAGCAACCCCCCGAGCTCGACTGCTTTACAACCGCGAGAGTGTACGTACGCGCGCGCGCCTCATCGATTTTCGACCCATTTCGGGGGATGCGCGCCGCGCGCGAGCTTTCGCGCGTGCTGCCTATACCCACCAACGAGACGACGAGGGATGCAGGCGCCGTCGGATCGCGAGCCTGCGCGTTTCCGCCGCTCGGATCCTCCGTGTCGATCGACAAACTCGGCTCTGCGACCATTTCGAGAGTGTGTACATATTTCAAGATTAAAGCATTATTTTCCTTTGAATTTCATGTTTTTATTTAAATTATATTTGAAATTTTCTCACAATATTTTATAATCTTCTCCTTAAAATAAATAAACTCACTCTTTTCTTCTATACATAAACATTTTCTTTAATATAAACGAGACAACCACTTGCCGCAAAAAACAACGAGAAACAAATTGATAATAATATTAAAATCATATCGTACAAACCCATTTCAAAAAAGATAAATTGATTATAATAAATGAATTCATTGTAACAATTTTATGCCTATACTTACAGCATTAATGACATCATTTCAACAATCTTAAAACTTAGTTAATTTTCATTTGTATAGTTCATCATTCACCACGCACCATAGATCATTCTTCGCATTTTAACTAATTAACTACCGTACAACATAGCACAAATGAAGTGATCATTTTTAATGTAAATTAGTTATCGCGGAAATTTGGCATTTTATCGGCTTAATAAATTTTATTTTATTAACTAAAAACGTAATAATCATAATATGTATTTAATTCATTTTCACATAAACCTGTATGCCAGCTTACATAAATATATAGAAGCAAATTTTTCAAAAATTCACTAAATTAATTTATCATGCAATGGTCAGTCTTGTGTTCTTTCTCATTCATCGCGCATGTATCCCCCTTCATCTTGTGCGTTGAGAAAGAATGCTAACATAAATGCCAATTTATCAGAAAGGCTGGTGTAAAAATACTCAAAGTTTCGTACATTAAATGTGAAATATCGATATTTTAAGTGGTGATAATTTTCAATTTTTATAACACTCACAATAAGTAAAGTAAAATAGTAAAAAGTTAAGAATAGCAAGATCAATGCGTCGAGATACGTAGTTTCTTTTAAAATTTAGTTATTTTTTGAGAAATATTCATTGACTTTTATTCTTTGTTTTATAACTATCATTGGTCTTCTTAGTTTGTTTTTATTTTTTATATTGCATCGTCTCGTGTTGCAACACTTTTCGTCGACAACCGTAGACATGGCAGATTGTTTAATTATTAACTATTATTTCCTTGTTGCAAGGAGATTATTATACAGAATTAGTCTCGATACATAAAATGTGATTTCTAATTTTTATGTACGCTTAGTTTAATTATCTACAATTTGAACATGAGCCGATTAGGCAATTTATGAATAAAGCACAAATTCAACGAAAAGTGAATTATTTAAGTTTCAAGCATTTAAGTAAATCTTTTCAAGAAAGTTGCATGCTTGTAAAAAAGCTCATCTCGAAATGTCGAGAGCGTAGAAATTCATGCAATCTTTCGTACTTGAATTACTTTGCCGTTAAGGGTTTCGAGCAAAATTACGAATGAATCGACGAATAGCACAGTCAATTCGGTAATATAATTCTGAAATATATCAGTAAAAATAAAAAATAACATCACTGACATGTGAATTGTTAGCTTATCTAAAATTTCATATTTTTTTAGCATTAAACGTCGCTTTTATTTATAATTTTGCTCGATCCCTGCGCAAATGTAACTTCACTGGTAACATACATAAAAATGGGAAGACACGAGTGCAATGACAAACGAGACCAAGCGAGTTTCAAAAATATTTCAAGCCACTATTCAATATCGGCTTTACGTAATTAATTCTATAGACTTAGAAATCAGTAAATAAATTCAGTATCTACTTGTGCATCGAGAACTGGCGTTATACTTTTTATCGATCGCACCACACTCGTTGCATATATTCTTAGCATAAATTTTTAATCTTCACTTAGATCAACGGCCGTTGCGCAAGTGGTATCCGGCATTGTGACGGGCCCACTCGATTGCTCGGTTTGTACTGTGACACCGCTGAGCGATTCCGCGGTGCTCGGCGCAGATGGTAACGAAGTCGTGATTGCTGTCGACGTCATTACTAATTGTGAACTATTGGGTTGATCATTATTCGATGTGGTTACGGTGACAACCTTCGTTGCAGTACCTGCCTGCTTCTGCCTCGACTCGACTCGGCCAAATTTCACTGCGTCCTGCGGGCTCCCGCTAAGACTCGTTGCGGAATGTGGAGAAATATTGGAATGCATGGTCATCGACCTTTGACCTGGAGTCAACATTACTTCCGGCCCACCACCATACGTTTTAACAAAGAACTGCCAGAGTTCTTCGGGAATCGGACCATAATCGGATCCTGAAAGAGCAAATTACATTCATAAATGTTTTACTTGAAATAAAAAAACTAGATATCGATCGAGATAAAAACTCACCAAGTTTCAAAACTGTTTGACCTCCTTTATTCACCGCAATTGAATTGTTTTCGATTGGACCAGGTGGCGGAGTTTCTTGGTTTTTAACGAAATTTTGCCATTGTCTGAACCAAGACATGGATAAAGCATAAAGTGCAGTTGGATTATCTGGTCGATTCAATTGATTGAACACTTCTAATTCATGACAGCGGCGCTTTTCCGTTTGTTCGAATTTCTCTTCACAGTGAGGACATTCGTAAAGCTGAGTACAAGCTGGTCCACCTCCAAAGCTGCAAGTAAAAGTGCAATGATAATTTACGATGTTCGGTCTCCCTGATAAAATTAACTTACGTATGATACAGGTATTCCCAAACAGTTTGCGGCAGAGGGGTGCAGAGTTTTTCAACGAATTTCGCTCTCGCCGGTATAACACCACCGTGAGGACATAGAAAATCAGAATTGTCGATCGGCCCTGGTTCAGCAAACGAATTGAATCGATTTATCCATTGTCTCGAAACAAAAAAGTTCAAGTCGGTTGACGTTTTGGACGAGATCTCCATAAGCTCGGCTGTCTTTTCTCGAATCTGATGCATCTCCGGTGAATACTTCTTGTAGAAGAGCACGTAAGCGCCGCAATTTCTAACGGTTTCTAGGGAAACTGGCGTGACGCACTGATCATCGAATTCGAACCACTGATTGGCCATCGGATTGAAAGCGTAGCAAACGTAATGGCCACCACCAGCGGTACCATGATGACAGATGACCGAGATGAGCTCGTACGTGGTAACTTTGGATACACAATCTTTGTGAAGATACGGCCGCATGTCGAGCATGTCGATGCTGTCACTGGGAAAGGACACGTGGCTGGCAATTTTCGAGCTGAACATGAGCTCGTGCCTGAAGCGCTTCAGATGGACGCAAAGCACCTCGGGGAGCTCCAAAACTTTCGAGTACTTGACTCCGTTCCGCAACTTGTTGCACTTTTCGCAGCTGTACATGTTGTCACCTTTGAGCTCGTCTGCGCTGAAGAATGCTGATAGGCAGTGATGCAGGTCCACGGTCGGTCCCCAAAACCACGAGCGAAACCATTGAAAGATCCAACTCAACCAGCCGGGCTGATTGGCTACGTACACAACATCCGAGCAAGGACCAGCCTTCTGTGGAGTAATCGAACCTTGATGCAAAATGTCCATGTGATCACGGCTCGGTATAGGTAGAGATAAATCCTGCAATAATATTTGATTATTAATAGCTTGTTTGATAATAATACATTAATACATTATAGATAAAAAAATGTAACTTGATTTAAGCTGCAGTACCTGAAAAGTTTCAACGCGCGTGGAAACACGATCGCAGGTAAGGCATTGCACACTGCTAAGTAATTTGCCGTCAAAAATGTCACTGATTATGCTCCTCATTTTCGATTGCTTTTTCGTACGGTGCTTTGTGGGTGAGTTCGGCGAAGACCTCTGTTGCTGCTGAAGAAAGGCCACGTCTACGGAGACCTTTTTCAGGCTGCGATTCGTGAACTTGTTGCGCAACTTGTCGGGTTGATTTGGCCGCGAGTATCGGCGCTTCTGGCCACGCTCGCCCTCGTCGCTCAACGAGCTCTGTTCGCTAACTCCGGAGTCGCAAGTCTCGTACTCGCCGTCGGATTGGCTCGACGCGGTGCCGTCGACCTCGGGTTCCTCGTCGTCCGAGGATGGCTGATCACCCAAGCTCTTCAGTCGGTGTACACTTTCGCGATCTTCTTCGTATACTTTGAGCTCTTCGTGCAACTGATCCATAAAGCAGCGAAGAAATTCTTGCGTATCATGCTGATGATAGCCTGTCAATTGCCGATGATTTTTTTTTTAATATTTTAATTTTAATACCGTAATTTAAAGATTTATAGAGGGAACGACGACTAGCACGAACGCTGACATTAGTATATTTTAAAAAGTAATTTAAAAAACAGTTTACTACGCACGTATAATGCTCTGCGATAGAGTTAATGAAAATAATTACGTTGCGGTAAATTCTATGTCGGTGTTGATAAGGATACTTTTTGTGAGCATTAATTGATGTTAGTTTACCTCGAAACATTGGATGCACAGTCCTAATGCCAGTCAGTATATTATGTGGTGATGTAAAACCCCTTGCTCTTCTGTCCCACATCTCTTTAATTAAATGCAAGTAGCTCAAACTTAAACCTGGTTTTTTGTCTCCACCGATATAAGAAACCATATCATCACAACTTAAAAAATACTGTGTTAATGGAGGTACATTGGATAAGGCTTGTAATGCAGAATTCATGTAACAGGTATTGCCAATATTCTGTAATCCAACCAATCCTGTAGGTTTCATCATATAATCCCTGCCCTCGTCAGAATCTGTACTATCAGGGGAATCTTCAGGTTTATCGATGAACGCTTCTCCTCTATTTGCCATTAGTCTATTCATATAATAAATTATTTTAATTGTATCGCATACTATGCAACAAAGAATATAAAAATTTGACTTACTTTTTAAACAGAAGTTGATCATTCAAATACTCATCCGTATCTGATTTGGTATCCATATTTATAGATGCATCACCAGAATATTTGTTATACAGAGAAAAATGTTTTTGATCCATTTGATTCGATGATCTTGGTGAAAGTGATTTTGTATTCCTGGTCAATACTTCTGCTTCACAAGAATAGCACCAGATTCGTGTTGATGATAAATTCATATGAGCCGAGTGTGATGGAAACTTGCGATTGTGGATAGTGCTATGATCGAGGTGTTGTTCCGCACAGCCCACATATCTGCAACCTGGATACAAGCATAACCAAAGATTTGGGCCTTCGTTATCACAGTCAGAGCATTTACTAAAAATTTCTTTGTGGGTGAAAACTTCTTCTACGATTGAAAAATTGCCATGACTTTCACTGTGAGGACAATTGACTGCTTCAATTGACATGTCTAATAATTATCTGAAATGAGATAAGATGAAATAAGAAAGAGGATTTTTTTAAAATAATTGTCATGCCCTCAGTTTCAGTTAGTTTCAGTTAGTTTCAGTAACATGCATGGTATCGGTGTATAAAGTAACTGACATATTCAATCCAAAATGATGCTAATGCAATTAGATTACTAATGTTATTTAACAAAGCTTTGCAGCGTTTACACACATGTAACTAAAACATAATCATTGTTAAAAAAATTGAAAAAAAAAGAATTACCCATTGTTTAATTGTTGTCAGCGACTATTGACGTTTAACCATAGTAGCAAAAATGTGCATAAAAAACCTCGATACACAAGTCTCTACAATTTCTGTAATAGACAATCAATTATCATGTGCATATCTGCGAGTGCTATACACAACACAGTCGACGATAATGCATAATGCAAAAAGTAGAACACACCAATACAGTCTCGCAGAAATTGTGCACAACAACCCGAGTGTCTGTATTAGTTATATATAACCCAGCAGTTCGTAATTATTCTATATGAACAGACACGCACTTGGGACCACAGTCATACGACATATTAAGCGTCATCGAAAAGTCATTAGACAAGAGTCTGTGCGGTACCTACCCAATTGAGCAACAACGGACGATATTGGCAGATGATTGATATTATTTACATAAAAACTCGACGTTTCTCTTGGTCTGTAACGTCGAGCACCGATGTGTATCACCTTGGCCCTGATGATTATCGAACGTACATAATATCGAGTAATGTATCGGGCCGTAAGGATGGAAATCAAAACGGCCAAGAGAGCGAGAGCTGGTCGGAATGATTTTCTCCTATCACTAATGTTGTAAACGGCCTATTGGTTTTCCTTCCACGCGCGCCGAGTGGAGAAATGCTATATTCCATCCGCACACTTCCTCTGCTGCGTTGTCAGTCTAAGCGAACTAGCAGCAGCAGGCCAGCGCAGCAGCAGCAGCACTCAGCAGTCAGTCAGTCAGCAGTAGCGCACCAGCACGTTATTGCCTCGTTGTATATGTATTAAAGCGAAATGACACTGCTACATTTCAGTTCATATAGGTGTGTATGTGTATAGTAACACCAACATAGCGTACGTCTGTTACTACGATGACGATATGATAAAGAGAGAAGCGAAAGCTATAGATTGGCTATACCAATAGACTCGTATGTGATATTTGTCGTCGCGTGCGTGTAACTGACTTACACACATGCACACTCACACACAACACCTATACGTAACCTTTATACACGATCACGCACTGAATGATGGTGATGTACGTGCTACAATATATTTAGTGCATATTTAAGTAAACTCAAACATAGACTGAGAGCACGCGTTAACCCGTTTTTAACCCAACACTATCGTCACGATGATTTATGGGTATGCATAGGAGCGACAACGCACACCAATTTCAAAGTCCGTCTGCAGTGGGCAATGTTGTGTTACATGGGTCAAGCTCCTCGTTTTGCGCTTGTAATTTAGGCGCGCTCGGGTTTCCAGTCGCCCGTATTATTCGCGTCGTCGTGAATACCACGCTATGGGCTTCCCTTTGTAACGTATCTTAAAGTTGAGCATACCTAGGCAGAAGGAGTATTTCGTGAATGGACAATTCCGCCCTGAACATTTCATATGATGTTCTCCAGATTTTTGACCTTTTGCATGGGTAGGGTCAACAAACTACAATGAATGCGTAACTGCGGGAGAGGGAACATGACAACTATATTTTAAACATTAATCATGATAACACTCGATATTTTTAATTTTAAATAATTATTATTATTCAACTTGATAACATAATGCGTTTGGCACTTTTTTATCCTTACAGAACAATCAGGCGCTGCAACAGTATTTTGAAAGCAAGGCGTATTTTCATTCAAGTATATCACGGTAGCTCAAGTCGCAATCGCAGAGCCGCGGCGACGCGTGCCGGGACACTATGTCATCTGGCCCAGGTGGATGAGGTACCGAATCGAATTGACTGATACGCAGATGATCTTGAAAAATTATAACAGCTGCCTGAAAAACAGAAAAATCGAGTCAAAACTTTTTTCCGATTCTTTCGTTTTCGTTTCCGAGGATTATTTCGAGAAAATGTCCAACTAACGGTATTTCTGCACACGTCTTGATAATTCGGCGCGCTGAATATCGTGATCATGGACGGAAAACCTCGCTCGGTCATGCGATACAATTCGAAGCCATCTCCTTGTACCTCGTGAGCTCGGATCATCGAGAGTAAATCGTGACGCGCGAGAAAATCGCAGACCGCTTTGTAGCTGTACGAAAATCAACGGTGCTTGTAATACATAATTCCTATTCTCGCGAGCGAAGGAAACGAATGATTTTACCTGAAACTGAACGAATTGCTCGTCGTGTTATAAAACAGTGACTTTTTCTCTGTGCCGTAATGCTCGCAAGGATTCGATCCGAGTAAACCGGAGAGAAGGCTGATCAACGAAGGTTCCGTGAATCGATTGATCTGTGTGTAAAACATAAACTATGAAACGCAAAGAATCGTTGCGCATCTTTAGCATTAAATTCGAAATTTCTTATCAATACCTTGATAATATCCTCGAGGTGCAAGATTTCTGGCGTTAAGCCTCCGTGAATGCAGAAAAATTGCTTGTTTACGAGGGCTGCCAATGGAAGGGCATTGAAGGCCGTCAGGCATGCTTCGTAAACTTCAAGATCGTATTTTACTTCACCTACGAATTGTGTTTTATAAATTTATTTTTCATGTTTTTTTTTCAAATAAGGTATCAAAACTGGGGAAACAATGACGCTACTTACACTCGTTTTTGAAAGTACAATTTTCCGCATGATAACGAGACTCGTGATTCCCTCGCAATAGAAAAAAGGTGTTCGGATAGCGAATTTTGAGCGACCAAAGGTAGAAAATGCACTAGACAAAAAAACGATACCTTATGATTTACATTATTTTTGTTATCAAATGCGAGCCTGTTAATTGTTGAAAAAAATTGTTACCTCGATACCAAAGCGACCTTTGCCAACGTAGTTCCCAAGAAATAAGTACTTCGTGCGGCGTGGCGCACCACCGATTTTAAATACCGTCATAAGGTCGTAGTATTGACCTCGGATATCTCCACAAACTGGATCACAACGAAGTATTTTAGTGTCGGCGATTGAAAATGTTTTTATCTATGATTTGGTATACCTGTTACGGGCTTGTCAACTTCGATCAAATTACTTTCTCTTTTCAGTGCTTCGGTACCTTCATAGATAATACGGAGGGCGGCTGACTTATCAATTCTACCCTCGAGAAGCAAGTGATCTCTCAATACCTCGACGCGAGGCTGGCCAGACTCATCGAATACATCGGCTTCCGAGAGCTTGTTTTTCGCTGCTTCAGTATGTTTTTTCATAATTAAGGTTCATTAGAATAATTTTGAATAAAACGTTCCCTTCACCTTTTTCCATTCTTTCAGTTATAGAAATACGGTCGGGTTCTTCATTTTCTGAAGTAATCCACCATTCGGGAGGTTTACGAAACTCCTTGACAAAAATGACGGAAGACCGACGATCGGAATTGAGCGAATTTTCGTCTTTTTTCGAGGGACATTGGTCGTTAGAATCATCACTGCTTCCCGACAGATTTAGAGCTCTAAAAAATTTTCAAATTATAATAAATCCACTAATTTTGCTCTCTTAAATATGCAAATTTGTTAAATTAAAAAAAAATTAACGCAAGTGAGTATTATATATTCTGTAGGTGTGAGAAGTCGGTGAGGTAAAATTTTGTGTCCGTTGCACGAGTTGCAGTATCGAATCTATATCCATAAATTTTTCTATAATGGTAAAATTATGAATAGTAAAGTAGCGATTGTTTACTTGTCGATTTGTTTATCCACGTCGATCGATTCGAAGTCATGCGAGTCTTGGAATTTGAGTTTTCGATGACACTTGAGAAACTCTGCCGATGTAGTGTTGTTTAGCGCATCTTCACCTAGCCAAAAGGAGCAATCTCGCAGATCTTCGGGCTCCCCGGCGTCTATCTCGGAATCGATGGTCGCGTTCAAGCCATGGCAGACGTTCGATACGAAACTGTCGGCCAAATTAGCTTCTTTGACCGATGGAAATCTGTGATGTTGAAAGTAAACATCCGTCATTTAAGGGCTTAAAAAACTAAATTTACATTTTCTTCTCGTTACCCTGCATAATTAGACGAATCTTCGAGTTTAAACAAATCGTGGAACGTGATATCTTCTGAATTATTCATTTTTCGTAATTACCGAAAGAGCAACACTATGTTGTTCGTACGACATTCGTAAGCTAAACACTGATGAATGAATTAGATATTATGAGGGTACAATCTAAACATGACTCGTGCGTAACTCATGGATACAAATTACAGATGGTGCTCGTAAATCGAGGATCTGAATCTAACGATTATCTTCAAATTTTAACTGTTATTGAAATGATGTGTTAATATATAACGATTAATATTATCATGAATCTATAGATATTCATGTTGCACTGAAATTTCTTGAAGAACTGAAAAAAATTTTACAATTTCGAGTCAGGAAAAAAATTGCTAGTCATGTGCATCTTTAATTTCTAGATTATATTTTTAGTAATCAAGCGGATTTATTAACATCATTACTTCAAGGGTGCATTGCAGAGGAATCAATAAACAATTAATTAACTTTGAATGACAAACATTTGCGGGAGTCTAGGGATAATTAAACTGAGCGGGTAACTGAGTAACGTAACGTGAGCGGCGCTAGCTGTATATGCTCGTCAAATATCAGACAACGCCACCGCCTTACCGCCGGTTAGTCCACGTGCTACGTTAGATTCGAGTGTAGTTCAACAGCGAATATTATTAAATTAGCAAAATGCAACACGACGACGTGAGTTCAATTGACACTTATTGTTGCTTAGGGTTTGACTTTTCATTATAAATACATTAATGTGAATTTAATTTTAGGTTGTCTGGAGTATTATAAATAAAACTTTTTGTTCCTTCAAAGTAAAGTAAGTACCCCATACTACTTGGTTATGCACAAGCTACGGCGACATGTGCGCAAAGATCACATAGTAATTTTGCAAGTATTTCTAATGTTAATATAATTTTGCAGCACAAAAACTCAAAAATTTTGTAAAAATGAGTACAATCTCACTGGTCTGTGTAACAGATCAACATGCCCCTTGGCAAACAGTCAGTATGCTACTGTACGAGAAGAAAAGGGTATCGTATATCTGTACATGAGGACAGCTGAAAGGTAAATATTTTTTGTGATTTTATTTCAGCATCAAAAAACAAGTGATTGATAGTCTTTTAACTTATTTTTTATATTATTATTATCAAAAATTCAATGAGATAATTCATTTTTTTAGAGTACACAACCCAAAAGATCAATGGGAAAAGGTTAAATTGTCCCGTAATTTTGATAAAGCCATACATCAAATCAATGAGAACTTATTGTATTGGAGCAGTTTCATAAAAGCAAAATGCAAACAAAGGTTTATTACCATTACACAAACTCTTACTCGTATGAGAAAATTGAAACTCAGAAGACAAAAGAAGATTGTGCCTTTACAAAGGAAAATAGAAAGACGTGAAAGAAGAAGAGAAGAGAAAGCTTTGATTGCTGCTAAGCTTGATACAAATATTGAAAAACAACTCATGGAACGACTCAAGAAAGGAGTGGTAAATATTTATAAGATTCAGAATGTAACACTCAATTTTAGTTTTTCATATACTCAAAAATATTTTTTTAATTTTTAGTATGACGACATTTACAATTTCCCGCAAAGAGTATTTGATAAGGCAGTTTCTGCTGTTCAAGTTGAAGGAGACAGTGAAGTTGAAAGTGACTATGAAGAAGAAGAGGTATGTTAATTTTTGTTAATTTCTAAAATAATCAAAGCTCTTAAAATTGATCACGAAAAAAAATTAATATACCTAAATTTTCCATTGATAGGAACAAGAAATTGATATGGAAATTGAAAGAGAAATGCAAGCAGATTCAAGAAAAAAGAAACGAGTCAGCGAATTTGTTGCAGCAGACAGTGATGATGATGATGATGATGATGATAGCGACAGTGATGGCGATGAATTGGAATATGAAATGGAATCGGTATGTACTTTTTTATTAGTTATATTGACTTTTAAAAACTGTTGTCAGGTAATAATAAAAATGGAAATGAATTTTTTGTTTTTAGGATGCAGAAAGCAATTCTGGTGAAAAAGAACAAGTCGAACTTTCAGATAGTTTTGAATCAGATGTTAGTGACATCGAGGTTCGTTTAAATTCAATTATCTTGATAAAATTTTATTCCGTTAGTAAATAGCAATAACTGATTTATGAAATTATTTTTTGTTAGGATGCAGTGGCATCTACAAGTAAACAACCCAAAAAGCCTAAGGTTACCAAGAAACGTAAAGGCACATCATCTCGTCCTAGAGTTGAGATCGAGTATGAATACGAAAATGAACCTGCAGAGCGTGAACGTCAAACTGTGTAGTTTATATTTTATACTTTATTTTACTGTTAATATAGTTCATATTGAATCGACTAATGTTAATTTCTTATGATGGAGAATTGCTTCATTCAAAACATTTTTCATACCAGTGGCCTGAAAGTGACTACTTCTCTGTCGCTGCGCAAAGTGGGAAGAACGATTTTCGGGCCACTGAGTATGAAAAATAGTGTACTTAGCCTTGGCCGCTAATTACACGTACTGTGGGACTTTTCTGTTTTTCTATTAAAATAAATTAGAAAAAATACGCTATTGAAATATTGATATCGATACAAAATCGGTATTAATAATTGTACAGAATACGATAAAATACATTTTATTAACTAAAAATCCTACATTTTAAAATTATTTTCAACCCTGCAACTATTAATATTTTTATTTCAATATTACTGCAATTGATCGATTACACACTGTGTAAAAATTTTCCAAAAGATCGTACAAAACATAGTATTGTTAGGCAACGCATCTAAAAACTAATATTGACTAATACGATTTTTGAGAGTCCATTGTTTATAAAAAAAATACATTTATATATAAAATGCAAGGCTCAAGTCACAATAAATACAATCGATAATTGACGAATCCGTTGTCGATTTCCCGTCATTCTGTTCGTAATCTCCGTTATCTATGACGTTTAACGGTAAACAGCAGCTGCTAAGCACAGCATACATTAGGCTTATACCACTACACTGTGTCTTATGGATCGCATTGGAATTCACGCGGCATAATGTCGAGGATGTTACGCTTTGGTATGCAACTCTCAGCTCCTCGAACTACACTCTATATATGCTTAAGATACAGTAGAATTTGACGAGATACAAGATGCAATCGAAAGAAATTCAAATTTCATATTTTAGCGTTGGGTGTGAAATTTCCACGTGTGCGCGCAGATCACTTTGTTGACACTGTACTCGTAACTAGGTAACCAGGTACATTCAGGTGAATGCGTGCAGTACTCGATTCTTTAGAGCAAATTATTTAAAGATACGTTTTTTTACACGACTCATATGCACAAGAACTGAGAAGACGAGTTATGACGGACTCGTTGAAGAAATACGGCCTGCACATCGACGATTTGGCGAAAGTGCGACTCCTCGAGCCCGAGGTTGCTTCGCAGACTGACAAGCTTCGCGAGGAGTGCCAGAGCTTCGTAACGAGTAAGTACATTTTTCGTTTGTTTGTTTCTCGGCATTTCGTTTGTTTGCCTCTTTTATGATTTTCACTGTTCACCTCTGGTGTCCAGAGATCGGCGACTTTCACAAAGCTGCCGAGGAGTTTATCAAAATCATGAGCAATCTCGCGGACGAGGTCGAGCGTGAGAGGATGCGATCGATCGGTATCAAAAACTTGCTCTACACCGTCACAAAGGAGCACGAGGCTGAGAAGCAACAGCTCGAGGTACATTTACATTGCGATACGAAATCAAACTTTATACTTGCATCAAATCGGCCGCTCAACGATTTCCGAGTGTTTCAGGCTTTGGTCGTGGAAAAGTCTATGGAACTGGAGAGATTGCGCGTGCAGTACGAGTCATTGAAGAAAATCGAAATGGAGCAGCTCGAGACCATAGAGCACTTGACGTCGAATTGAATCACTTATTCAATACGTGTAAACAGTGATGTGATAATTATAATAGGCAGTAAAAAATTAAAGCTTGACCAGATTGTTGAATTTTCTCTTTCGTTCTTATATTTTCGAGTGAATGTAGGTATACAATTGTTTTTCAATGTAATAGGCAGGCGTTCCTTGACAAGAACACAAAAAGTTCAATAAGTAATTCTTGAAGAAGGAAGGCACGTTTTTACAATTATAGATAGTGTGTTCTTTTATTTCCTGTATACATAGAAAAATGCAAATTTCAAGAATGCTCGATTCTTCCGTTACAACTTATCACTACGCATATTTTACTTTCTACAGGACTTATTTAGTTGTAGTTTTTTTTAATCTATATAACTTATTTGTGTCAATTTTTTGGATGAATAATCATGACCGAGAATGTGATGAGAGTTTTGCTTTAAATATCATTTCATCTTAACAAAATAACATACCAATGGTACCCATAACTATGTACTTAGCAGTTCATTTTAATAAACTTTTACGAGGTGCAAGAGCATATTTTTTCACAGTTATTTACAAAGCAAATAGTTATTCAAAATAAAATTTATTGTTAGATGAAAATATATATCTTGTGTGTATATATATATTTGTATAAATCAATATACATATATATCAGTCTATACATGCACATTATCCAAATTATATCTAAAAAATTTAAAACTTAATTAAAAATTGTTGATTCTATCTGCTGTTGGAAACTGAAATACATAGCTATATTTTTTTTCAAATAAACGCTAAAAGGTTTACGCTATTTTAATTATTACATAATAATAAAATATCAAGCTTCAGTTTATATACTCAATAACAAATGTATATAATTTTCTTATAAATTAAGAAAATTTATACCATACAACTATTTTTTTTTTGTTAACAATCGTTGATTCTCATGATTATTATAGATTATATTAACTTGAATCACAATCATGATAGCAGTCTGTTTATTAAAATAATATGAGTTTTAATTTAATATATTAAATATTCTATTGAATTTTATGAAAATGAAAATGGTCTTGTCCTAGGTCACAAGTACAAATTCTATTACTATTTTCATAAATATATACATACACAGACCTTTTTGAGCAAAATATTAATAATTGTTTGCTTGTCAAGGCTCATTATTTTCAATTTACTCAAAAAGAGTTGAAATAAAAAACAAGTGGACATAAAATTGAATAATGTAATATTTGGTGATGCAACAAATAAAATCATCAAATATTCATTTGTACTGACTCACTGTAAAAATTATCATTGTCACATAAGATCGAAGTGCCTAGAAAAGGATAAAGTTATTGATTAACCAAATTAATCGAAATTAACACGAAATTAAATTCATGACAATAAGATTTATCTGGTAAGTTGAAATTCATCATAGTTAGAAACTATTAAGGTATTTTATTATGTTTACTTTAAAATCTAAAATTCTTAAAATAACAAATACTATCTAAAAATTGGGAATAGATACGAAGTAAAATCTACTCGAAAAAAGAAATTACTAATCACATCTTGGCCAATTGTAAAGGAAATTTCAACTTGTTTTTTATCATTTCTAAAGCGTGCTGTTACCAATGGTAAATTGATAATTATTGAATTATAGAAAGAACTAATCTTTGTTATCATTATTTTCAAGTCTAGTAAATAATCATTCTTCGATGATTTATTCTTTTATACACGATTTTATAACGTACCATAATTTATGAACTTGTACACAGACAAATTCATAATCAACGCTTTATGTTACAACTGATTTGATCGATTCTCAGCAACTTTCTGACTTAAAACGTTTATCGTCTCTGCCATTGTCATCAGTACTGCAATCAGCTCCATTTTCCGTTGATGCGTTCGGCGAAGCGGGCCTCTTCTTTGAAACAGATGTGACTTCAACGGCTTTAGCTTCACCTTCATCACTTTCAGCTTTTTTAAATTGAACAATTATTGCTGTCATATTGTCACATCCTGTACCATCACCTAACGTACTTGGAGCCAAACAATGATCAAAGAGCTGAAAAATATTTCATTTTTAAAATAACTGAGAAAAGTACAAATAATTTCAAGGATTATAATTTTTAAACATACCTCTTCACAAATTTTCGACATTTGCTTGTATCCCCGATCTAATCTGGACTTGATAAAACTCACGACGTTTTGACTTGACATGAAATTCCAAATACCATCACAAGCTAATACTAAAAATTCATCTTTTTTCCTATCTATTGTTATAGTCTGAATATCTGGTAGAGCTGAAATCATTTGTTCTTGTGCTGGCAAACCAACATTTTTCTTATAAGAATGATCTCCAAGAGCTCTTGATAGATTAAGTCCACCATTAACTCGACCATCAGCTGTAACATTACCACCTGCTTTTTTTATTCGTTCCATTTCAGGTGCATCTTCAGGTTTATGATCAAAACTCAATTCTACTGCTTGGCCTTCTCTGCAGAGCACACATCTAGAATCTCCAGCATTAGCAACGTACAGCTCATCACCTTTTAAAACAGCTACTACTGCTGTGCATCCACTATCAAAACCAGGCTACAAAAATTGAAATTAATTGAATAAATGTTTTAAAAAATTAACTCATAAATGTTATTTTTTTTATTTACATCTTCGGTTTCAATAAGATGTTCTTCATCTTCATCATCTTCATCATCTTCATCATCTTCATCTTCCTCATCATCTTCATCATCATCGTCGTCATCGTCGTCTTCATCATCATCTTCATCATCTTCCTCCTCATCATCATCCACGTCACTGCCGTCTTCACCACTAAAAAAAAAAAAACAATATAATTGTAACGATAATTTCAATTTTTACTTATACTTTTACTTTGCAAAAGTATATTTAATTACCCCAAAAGATATTTAAAGGCTTTCTTATACCTAGCCTTATCTTCGTCATCGTCAATATCATCATCATCTTCAGAATTTTCTGCTTCTGCTAAGAAGTTATTGTAAAGATCTTTAGATTGAATTTTTTTTCGACCGCTACTACTTATTTTTCCTTGCTGTTCAGCTTCACCATTTTCTAAAGGAGTACAGGAGCTACTACACTCATTGTCACTAGGACCACTTTTGCTGCTATCAGCAATTTCACCACTATTAGATGGAGTTTCCCCATTCATTTCATTTTCATTTTTCCAATTTGTAGAATTTGAAACTTGACTTGGCGAGACCTTATCATTTACATCAGCTGAGCTATCTGGCATATCTGATGATTTTGAAGGCTGAGAATCTGCAGAGGAACCCACTTGTGGTGCACGAGAAACATCTCCATTACTTGTTGTAGAATCTAAGATTTGATCAGCTTCACTACTGCCAGCTGCTTCTATTTTACAGTTAGATGTTGAAGGAGCTGATGGAGTTGATGTTGAAGGTGTAGATGATGTTGAAGTTTGAGGTGCAGGTGAAGTGGAAGTTGGTGGTACAGAAGATGTTGATGTTGATGGATCAGACGATGATGAAGATTCACATTTTTGGCTAGAACTACTAACGTCTTCTTCATTAGTATTCCAAGCCGATGATGAAGAAGAGCAGCCAGCACCATCATTATCTTCTGAATTGGGTTCAAGGACAGATTTCAACTCATTTAGCTGCTTTTTATCCCACTTCATGACGTCATACAGTTGATCAAGTGTCATCTTTTTCATGCCATCAAATTTGTTCTCAGTTAAAGCTTTCTTTTGATACTTGGCCATAACTGCTTCTAAAGGCATATCAGCCTCTTGTCGAAGACTATTGACATTTTCTTCATCTAAAACAAATTGTTTAATGTACTTTTATTTATAAATATTATAATTTAAGTAAATAAAGTGTAGAAAATTAGATTTTTACCTGAGTCAACTTGATCTTTTGATTCATTGGGCTTTTTGCGGGATATTTCTACCAAAGTTTGGACGATTTCTGGAGTTGCAAGCGTGGCATCAAAACCAAGAAAGGCATCAATCAAGGCTTGTTTCATGTCTCCTTTCTTGTATGCTTCTGTTTGCTTTATATACTGTGGTAAATTTTTCGCGGAGTATACTGCAACTTCATGTCCTCCGTGGCCATCGTAAACAGCGAACAAGGCTGTATCTTCATCAAAGTCGAGGCAACAATTGTGAGCATCCTAATAGAAGGAAAGTAAGTTATTTTGAATTATTATCAGGGTTTAAGGATCAAAAGTTACACAGTAAATGAGTAAAGTTAGAGTGTAGGAAGACGCGAGAACGATGAACAGAACCCGAAACGAAAAAATAACGGCTATGGATTTAATTTTGGATGGAAATAGATGCAACAAAAATACGATGACTTACTTCCTGGTGTATACGCCAGCCTTGCATGGAGCTGGCCCCGCAGACGAGATTGCCGGATGATTCGTCGGTCGATTCCTTGTCGATGATGGGCTCTGATAAGTATGCACCCATTATGATTTGAAAGGAGACGTAGATAAACAAGGAATAATCAAAACTCAATTCCGCAGGCTTCCTTTTTCAAGTGTCGAACGAAGCCGACTCTCGTTTATAATACGATGGTTGGGTGCACGCACCACTACAGCACGCACTGTCTAACGCGCGCTCGCCTAACCTATAAGATGCTGGCGGGTAGCTCTGTGTGAGTACGTGCGCTACGCCGCGACACTATACGTGCATATATTATATGTAAAAGTGTAAAAAAGCTTCGAATGAGCGGCTTTGCTGATGAGCACGAGGGATCGCACACAAGTCGCTGCACAAATTAAAACAAATTATTACGAATCTTAGGTGTGTGTGTGTGTGTGCTGCAAGCAATGTCCAGCACGCGGAGAAACAACACTCGCGCACAGTTGAGCTCGGTTACAAAAAAATAGGAAGGAAGTAAAAAAGTACTCGAGAGCCGCTGCAATACGAACGTCTTTCTTGCAGAGCCGCCACAGTAACACTCGGCTCTTGTATTTGAAATCGATAAAGCACTCTCGGTCGTCGGAAAACACTTGGACTTTATGACGATGCCGGAACGAATGCTGGTTTGCGCACGAAGACTAGCGGCAGCAGTAGCAGCAACTGTGTGCACTAATATATATATATTCATATATATGTGTTCTTGGCGGCTCTTAGCCCGGAACGTGTGTGTAGTGTAGTAGATATGTAGTAGGTATGCACTGCAACGAAATGTGCCTGTGTTGCGAATACTGCACGCAATTCTTCCGACGAAACCGAGGTTATGGTTGGTCGTTCGAATTTGCACACCGCACAACTGTACACAAGCACACAAAATTTTAGAACGTTTTTGATGAGTACGTTTAAAACTTTGGTTTATTTTTCTTTGTTTTTTTTTCCTGGATTTTTAGTTTTTTATTAAAAAAAAAGAAATGCAACTGATCGGAATGAGACAGCAATACGATAAGTGCTGTTCAGCACACGGTTCAGCGCGAAATTTTCCTTTAATTTTTTCTTTCTCTTCTTCTCTGTTCTTCTTTTTACAGAAGAATCGCTTATACCGTATTCCCTGGTTTTTTTATCTTATAATAATACATGTGTGCATGCACACGCACACATAAACATGATACCGCAGTTGTAGGTCTCATGATACGGTGCTGCTGCTACCTACACCGCGATGCGGCTCCGAAGCGCATCACGCACATCGTCACTCGATACGGGATCTCCCGATGTCATGGTCTGGATGCAGTTTGCATAGGCGCAATCATAGGATCAATTTTACGCGATGGCAAGATCGATGCAAAGCTTGTGCGCGACGACAATCGTTGGCGCCATAACGTTCGATACTGTTCCCGCGTTCATGAACGATTCAAACGGACATTTGAAAAAAAGGGGCAGTGATTCGTTCGCACGATTGATGACGGTTGACGATCGAGCGCCAATTCAGTTGAGCGCATGGTTTTGTCGCTTTCGGACGTAAACAATCATCGACCGTCGAACGACCAGTGAATGACAAAAATTCGAGATCGCGAGTGCAAAATGTGATAGTTCTCTCAAGTCTCAAGACTATTATTAACTGGTGGAGGGCGTATGTATAATAGAAAGACGGTTATGCTGAAATGTGCCGAAGAAATCGAATCGTCTTGGGCCACTACAGCATCCAAGTGTTACAAGACGAAAACAAAGCGAGGAAGAAAAGGATATGTACGGATAGGTATGGATTGCTACTATTTGACGTATAAAATGTAAAAAGAGAGGAGAACCCATGCGTGATACGTATACGCGTGCTAGATGCAACTTGTTATCTGGCTCACATAAAACGTAGCATTTCGCACTTGGCGCTCGTGCATATTACAGTACCCATACAATACGCATAATGTAGAGTGTATGTATAAGCGGTACGTGCTTTGAAAGCGTACGCACGAGCGCAAGCTGTATGCGATATAAATATATGTATCGTGTACACGCATCGATGTACATTTCTTCAGCTTGCGCGTCGCATTATTATCTCAGCGACGTGTCTCGCAAATGTATTTATTGCGTTTTTTTCCAATATATATTAGTATCTCGTCCCCCTCCCTTTTTATCTGTGGCTTTATATCCTTCTTGCACGATTGACTGTGGTTAACCATCCCGATCGACGAACAATTTTCTAATCGTACCGAGGATCGCTCGACGCGGGCAATGGTTGAAAGAAAAGCTCGGCTTTCGGATCGATGCTCGGCTTGCACGTGCTATCCTTGATCGCGAACGTGTTTCGTGCAGTAACTCGTTCAAAACAGAGGTCATTATTTTGTTGCCCCGTGCGCGCCCGGCTATTGTTGAAGCGCATTAAGTTCTCCTATTGTCCACGTTGAGAAAAACAAAAGACTCGAACTCTTTCTTTCCCGACACAACAATTTTTATGGATATCTTCTTTTTATCTTCCTTGCATTATTTTTCATCCTCAAAAGTTTGTTTTTGTTCGGTTCTCACCACACTTGGCTTTGTCCAAAAACAAGCAACTCATTATTATTTTCTTCGCTCTCACTGTAGCAGAATGCGGCTCACCCACTAGCGTAAATAAAATACCGATCGCAGTTTACTTCGCGTACATACACGCTTGTGCGGTACGTTTATATACGCAATCTCATTTGGAACACAAGTATCGAGCTCGAGCTTGACATTTTCTTGTAATACTCACCTATAGAGAAACACGAATTCGCCGACGATGATAGCATTTCAGGAAATTTCTGCTAGAGACGTTTTTACGAAGATAATTAGCACGAACGAAGGTATATATGTGGCGATATTTAATTTCAAATGGTTAACACACGTGCACGTGCAGCGGCAGTCGTAACAATTATACGAATCCCATAAGGATGCTTAAGAAAAAATTTGCCGCTTTTGCTCTCTTTCTTTTTGCCCATAGCCGGGTAATCGCGCGCTATTCTTCATTCTGTATATATTACGGCGCGTAGGATTCCCCACAGAAAAGCAAATCCCCTTTAACCCTCGAAAAGAAACTCTCTCTCTCTCTCTCTCTCACTCAGCTTGTAAGCCAATCTAAGTGGAGTAGAAAAAAGGGGTTAGTCTCTATCTCTTTTTTTTTACGTTTGGGAAAACTAAGGTATACATATATACAGATGTTACTATACGGGATATCGTGTAAGCCAGTCACGTTTATGAATTAGGCTGGTCGCGCAGCAGCTCGAGTTCCTTCACCTAACTTCTCATTACCCTTGCTGCCTCCCTCCCGCTTCCCTCTCGCTATATATTTATACACGTATTTCAACTCCCTCCCACGCACACGAAAAGGTTCGCTTTGCTTACACACGTACACTTGTAAGCTTCTTTGGGGGCTTTATGTTCATAGGAGCCTAGAGGTAGGAGTGTAGAGCTTTCTCGAGTCCCGTTCGAAAGAAAAGATATTTGTGGCACGAAACGAGTCGAGTCCTTATAATTATCGTTACAATCTAAAGCGAGCCTCTGTACGTGCGAGAAATTTACGCACGATGCACACGCGTATGCAGCGCGTAATATTCCAGCGAGCGTCCAAAGTTACGCGTGCTTATTATGTGCGTGTGGCAAATTATGCCTTACGCGTTATACAGCTTCTGCGCAGAGCTTTGACTTTAGTGACGTACCGAGTTATCACGTTGATGTCCTATGGAAGACTTGCTTCGAATGTAAATAGTTGTACATCAGGTAGAGGATAGGGAAGAGAGAGGGAGATAGATAGAGAGCGCCTGCGTTACGCCGAAATAGCGCACAAATGCCTAAAGAAATTTGCAAACTTATCTAATCACAGTTGCAAGCTGCTTGATTATTAACGCACTTGACGGATAATCGAGATGTTTCCACGCTTACCTCGATGACATTTTCTCGACACGCGTTCAAATTCAAAGGCGATCGAAAAATGAATGTTCTTAATTAATATATTCTATGATAGACAATGAACGCTTATTTTGGGATCGCATTCAGCTATTTTCCGGAAATTTTTAAAAATCCACACCTATTCTTCGACGAATTCAAAATAATTTTTATTCAAAACAAATTTTTCCTCGATGAGGTACATTATAATCGAGACATAAAAATTAGAATTTAATTATTTTTTTTTTAAGTTTATTCGAATAGATTTATAAAACAACGCTTTATCGGTACTTGTAAATGAGCATCAAAAGAACTGTAGCAAGGAAATTACAAATTAAGAACTTAAAACATAAATAGAAATTATTGCATTTTTTTTTAATATTTACTGTCAATGTTTTGAAGAGCATATGATGAATTTGCGCTTATATTTATATGCAAGTAAGTTGTAATTTTCAATCGAGTTCAAGAAATGAATGAATGAATGAATGCCCCTAAGTAGTAAAAACATCTAAATCAATTCTCATTAGAGTTTTAATGATTATGGGAGAGAAAATTTGGAAAGTTCAGCACAAGCTCGCGCGCTTTAAGCTTCATCTTGGACAAACGTAATTTTTTTAAACTTACGATGATTAAGTGTTAAACTTTGAAAGCTTGATAACTTTTAGAAATGAAACGATAAAACTTTACGCACGGTCAAGTCCAATGATAAAGTTTACTGCATATGTTCGAATAAAAGTGTCGCCATAATTATCACAAAAGCTCGTCTATCGCAACTTTCGCTTTAAATGCAGATAATTAATTTACGTGGTTAAAAGCTCGTTAAAAGCTTTGCTCTATATGTATGAGATTCAATTTTTTGTGTTAAACCAAAAAGCGAAGAGAGCAAAATGTTCAAACCTACGACATGCGAGACTGTTGATTCTGTCAGCTGTGGAAGGGCAATTAGGTCGCTAACCTTTTTTTCGAGTATTACAAAAAAAAAAAAAAAAGAAGAAAGTAGGTCAGTTGAGAGAAAGAGAGGTGGCGCAAGCGCGCGAGTATCATCGTGGTCCCCTCCCAGCCTCAATTGTGTTTTCTTACGTGGCTGTGTGCGAGTAAGCGTGGTGCATGGGGCACAGCATCGAATTTACGCGCTTTCGTGGATGGGCAGAATGTCCTTTTTCGCCCTCAGCATCGCGCCGACAAAAGCACACGTAAACAAAGTGAGAGAAGGCGAGAGATGGGATGTGCACGAGCAGCTGCAGCATAATAGGAAAGAAAAGGAAGGCGAAAAAAAATCAGCACTGCCATCGCTATGTTACCGCTGCAACTGTCAGTGAGCAGCCACGAGGGGTCTATAACTTACTCGTTCTTTCTTCTCTGATTCTTGGTTGCTGCTCCTCTGTGACGTTGTACGAGAAAATTCGCTGTAATATCTGTGGCTCGAGCTTTCCTTTTATCGTTGGCGTGCTCGGATAAAGAAGACACTTTTTTATTCAACTTATCTGATCCATAGATTGCATGAATAATATTTTTTTTTTCGTGAGTTATGTGCAAAGTTTGTAAAAATATCTCAATTACGAATTTAAATATTGAGCAAAAAAATACTGTTTTTAACTAAAATAGAACTCGTTGAAAAAAAATTGCGAGTTTACTACAGGCAGGGTTTTTTTCACATCGGGCCAAAATACTCCAAAATTCCATTTCAACCCCCTTGACACATTGATAGAAGAAAAAACAAGCAGTACACGAAATACTAAAGAGCAAGTTAAACCAAAGAAGCTAAAAGAGCAAGCAAGAGAGTTAGTTTTCTGTCTTTCAGCAGTGCACAGTTACAACGGGCATCTTTCAAACTTTTCGCTCATGCCGAATGCGAAAGAAGTAAAGCAATCATCTACTTAAAAAAAATCCTTGAACCAAGAGAAGACACACACACACACATAGCTCGCGAGCTTTGCTTTTTGCGATGTCGTGACGATGCACGTTTGAGTGTAAAATACAGCGAACTCTTTAAGTGGATAAAATGTAAGGTGGATTTCGGGAATTTGAGAGCATTACACAGCATTAGCCATTATGTGACGATCAAGTACGAGATTATATACAATGTAAGTTGGAACTCGAGATACTCGGCCTCTCTTGGTTATATTTTACGTATACGTATACATATGTGGGAGATTTGATGTTTTTCCTCTTATTTTTTTCTTCTTTTGAGTAACTCTACGCGACAAATGTACAAATTCGCTGTTATGGAGTCGTATTTTGTCAAATGTGTTTTATTCTGTACTCTTTGCTTTAGGCTTTATACATTCCGCTTAGGATTTGTCAAAGATAACCGTGGTAAATGTATCCGTCTTCATCCGAGTAGTGGCTTTTCTTTTCTTTGAGATACATTTTTTATAACGTTATGCTAAAATTTGGAAGATTCTACTTTATGCCGTGTTAATGAGTTTCAATTCATTTTGTAACAAACAATTCAATTTCATTAATTTGAAAATCTAACACGATATGAAAATACAAGCTGCTCGCCTCATACCATCAATCTGTATATATAAATAAACAGAGAGAAATTTGTTTCAAAACAAACATAATTATTTACGCTTTAGTGAGGCGTAACTTAAATCTAGCAAACAGCTGTTGTCTTCAAGTGCTTAAGTTTGCGGTAAGATGAGAAAGGATGAATTCAAATGAAAGTTAATTTCGCTCTATTAAAATAAGCCATGAACAAGTAACGAATTTCAACTTTTGATTGTTTAAAAATTGTTTAACGAAAGAAATTTCTTCCTTTTATTTTTAGTGCAATAATGAATCGACCGATTGCATGTAAGAAAGAGGGAGAGAGAGCGATGTAGATGAAAAATACTCTGCTATCGTAACTAAGAGATA